TTTGTCGCCGTACTGAAGAATCTCTGTAGAAGCGTCCGAAAACTGGGACGACGACTTTGAGTTCAACGCCCAAAGCGCGCGAAGTTCACCATCCGCCGCATCCAATTCTAACGACCACGACATTCGCACTTCACCACCACGCCCACGACACGTCCACAAGGAGTCCCAGAGTAGCGCCGAGAACTGGGACGACTTCTACGAAGATGACACAACGACACACGCAACGACATCTCTTCAAGTCAATGCACAAGCACCACATCACGAATCCTCCGGGTCCTCTGCTCACGGAGACGATGAAAGCGTCAACTTGCGGCCTCACTCCGCTCATGTTCTCTCGGCGACACGTACCCCACGCGCAAACAAGCGACAGCAGCGAGTTCGTTCTGGCTCGGGGGCCACCGCACGCCAGCGACCTCGATCGGGATCCCGTGCTTCGCTGTCCTCCTCTGAGGAGGAACTTGGCTTCGCCGATGGTATTGATGAGGATCGTACCGTTACTGCTCATAATCGACGGGTGTTCTCACACACCATATCGACGAACTCTAGTCCTCCACCGCCCGTCCCACCGCTTCCGGCGACCGTCGGCTATTCGACCCGGGGAATAGGTTTGGGCGCATTGTCTGTCGAGGACTTTCCTCAACCTTTCCCCCGCAGCCCAACGACCAGCGTATTCTCAGCCCCGGAAACCATCTCCAGCACAACAGGGCTCATTGGTGGTACCGGACGCAGGCTACAGAAGAAAATCGGCCCCGGTCTGGCTGGTTTACCCCCTAGCCCGCCTATACATCGGGAGCGGAGGAGATTGCGGAAGAAGAGCCGGCCCGCTGCTCTCACTTCTGCTATCGAGGTCTCACGTGCATCTTCCTCGTCAGGTGCGGAAGAAGAAGAAGAAGATTGGGATGCCGAGTCCCCTGCTTCTCATGATCATCAGACTGACAGTTTGCTGTCGCCCTCGTCGACCAACAATCCGTATGGAGCAAGCACTTCCTCCATATCCATGCAGCCTGCAGCAGCAGCCCAAGCGCCAGTGCTGCCTCCGGGTGGGATGCTTTCTCGGATCGGTAGTATGAAGAGATGGGGTCGGAGAAAAAAGGGAAGCAGTATGAGCGTCGGCAGCGAAATGGGTAATCTTCGTACCTTTCCAGTCCAATTGCAAGCTGATCACTCTCGCAGAAGCGGAGACGGACGTTATCCGCGACATAACGGCCGACATAAATGCGGATTTGACCCCGCGCCGATCCATGTCCCAGCGGTCGCCATCCAGTTCATGCTCGCGTAACCGTCATTCGTATCACACTGGAACTCCGAGCACCCCAGCGCGAAGGGGCAGCTTGTACACACCGCAGACACCCCCGAATCCATCTTCCAATCCCCAGCCTAAAACCCCAGCGACCGGGGACAATGGCGGATGGTTCTTCCGAGGTCCTTCCCCCGGTCGCCGCCGATTTCGATCTCGCTCGACCTCGCGAACGCGAGACGAGCGTCGACCGCACACCCCGACCCCGCTGCCCGATTTCTCTGGTTCGAAATCGAAGCTGCTAGTCAAACAGCACCCCGGCGGTTTTGTGCCTATAGGACGTGGAAGACACCCAAGAGATGGTGACGAGAAGACGGCAGGTCGATCACTGCATCCTAGTCCTACCAAGTATGGAGCTCTCGGTGTCGGTCGACCTTCTTCCACCGGCGTTGGCTCTAGCAGTGTCGAAGATCTGGGCAGAAAGATGGGTTTCGTCGAGCGTAGCGTGCGGAAGATCAGCCTGGTCGGAAGTCAGAAGCATAAACGGACGAAGAGTGCCGCGGGTCTAGAGGAAACGGATCAACCGTCTTCAACAACGCCTGGACTGGAGATTCAGCCACCGTCCCCACCGCAAACCATGAATGCTGCAACAGGGTCGCGATTGACGGGAACGACCTTCTCGTTGGCATCCACAACATCCTTACCCTCCACGGCGTTGCAGCCGTCTAAGTCACCTCTAAAGTCCAATCACTCGAGGCCAGTGACACCTGTGATGCAAGTTCACCCGCAGTCAACGGCCTCTCTTGGTCGATCATCAGCAGCTGTCGCTGCTGCAATAACAGCAAGTCCAAGCGCAATGCGAAGGAACTCGCTAGGGGACCTCAAGATTCCTGCGCGGATCAGCCAAGCTCAAGGCGCTCTGCGCCGTGATCTAGGAATGGTGAGAGAGTTTGCCAGGAACGTCGAAGGTGAGTATCCTTTGTCCTATCAAACCTGCACCTCTTCCACGCCTCCAATCTGGCACCATCCTCTTTTGTTTTCTGTCAATACTGTGTTTCTAGTACGACATGTTGCTGCCCTTGTCTCACTTTCTTTGTTTTAGACCTCAAAGAGCTACAAAGCACCTATCAGTCCCTGGTCGCTGAGGTGCAGGCAGTGCTCGACGCTCGTCTCCTTCCAGCAGCACCGACATCACCATCACCATCACCATCATTCTTCAAACGACATCGCTCCAACGCTTCTCTTTCTACCCCACCACCGGAAGCTTGGAAGCAGCTCGCCGCGGCTTTTTATACCATCAACTCTCGATACCGCATTTCCTGGGAATGTGCAGAGCTACTGATCGAGCTGGGAGGAGCAGGGTCTTCGGCCGGACCTCCAAGTAGTACGTCAGCACCTGCTATCCCCCCGACATCTACATCCAGCAAGAAGTCACGCGCTCGTGCGATCACCCTCACGGACGATTCTGCGGCCTTGCCAACCTCAGCGAGTCTGCCGACAGCGAGCACGCCCAGCTTAGCCTGGCGTGCTTCGACCGGACGAAGCATGCATTCGAATGCGGAGCTCAATTCTAGACAGATGGCTTTGCTCAAAGAGCTGTTGAGCTCGCCGTCCGCAGCGGACGACTCGTTTGGCACGGACGATGGGGTGCCGGAAGGAACTGTGGTTAATCGGGACTGGCGGTGGGGTGCAGATGCTATGGGAAGCACGATCACACTGCCGTCCGAGGAGGATCACGGTAGCGGCAAAGAGAGGGTGAAGGAGAAGCGAAGGAAGAGCAGCAAGATGCGGATGAGTGGTTTCCGGGATCTCCTGAAGAGTCTTGCTCGAAGCGGAAGTGGGGGTGCCTCATCCTCTTCGTCGAATCCATCTCATCACCCCAACCCGATTCCGTCCACAACATCTTTCAGTACAGATTCATCGTCTCAATCTCGTTCGACGCATAACTCGACCCACAGCCGGCGGCGTGCCAAGACGAGTACCGGACCTGAAATTATATCTTTGAAGCCCGGCTCCCCATACAACTCAGCGAAGACCGCAAGCGCATCGCCACGGCGCCCGTCGCTGGCATCGATCTTCAGGATTGGGAGGAACAAGACTCCGACTGGCATGCCAAATGAGAGCTCGAGCGAGGGTGTCAGTCATGACGAGGGCGAGGAGGATTGGGATCGGCTTTCGTCTGAAGCAGAGCAGCAGCATCCTCAGCAGACCATACGCGGGAGGAACCGGTCGCCATATCTGCATCCAGCGCTCCTTCCCAACTCGAATACATCACTTGGTGCGAATGGGGCTACGGTTGTCACCCGCATCACGAGACTTTCGAATGTCAATGAAACGGTCGAGGATGCGTCTCAGCCGCCATCTCCCGTGTTCTCACCACCACCGCCTACAGGAACCAAGACGACGAGACGACCAGCCAAGAACACGGGTTCGGTGCGGTCGATGCCGCCGAGTGCTTCGTCGTCAGATGCGGTTCTTGCGATGATGACCGCAGGAAAGCTGGCTATGACACCGGAGAATATCAAGCCACTGCTGGAGAATGCGCGAGAGGTTCATGCGCGACTGATGGAGTGCATCGAAGAGGTGCGGGCTCTGGTGGACGGCCTGGAGAACCAGAAAGTGTGATTTAGTCTTGCTATCGATTATCTTGTATCTGTCCCAGCTTTCACAATGCTTTGGTATATAGTATGTATATAGTATGTAGTGTTCGTAGAGTAGTACAATGCAATTCATGATGCTCTCCAAGCGAAATATTCCGGAACGTCATAGTAATACAATGTTTGCCTATCGCTACAAAGAGAATATCAACACGACCAATGAATCATGCGGCAGCGTGTAAGATGCGGACGAGATTCCTTTCGGCCCGCTTCAGACGCCGTTGGAGAACAAAGCCCTGGAATACGGGGCTGAATACAGACTGGGGTCTGTCTGCAGACCTTGAGTGAAACAGACAGAGTACCTAGCTCTCCACGCACTTTGATCACAAAACCGGAGAGTTTCGAAGGAACACGACAAGGCTTCTTCGAGTGCAAGACTCGACTGCGATGGCGGAAGCTGCGCCGCGAGATTCATAACGCGGGACGCGTCTTCGAGCAGAGATGTGCGGACGTTTGAGTCCATTGACAATATTGAGCGGAACGCCGATTGCGCTGCACACCCGACGAACTCGTGTTGCCCTCGGCCGGACTCCTGGAGAGTAGTGTGATGATGATGAGTGCGAGCCTTCACTGCTGCATACCTGACTAGAGGCGGATATCTGTCGCTCGTGATATCCCTGGGACATGCTCCGGGACAACCAGTCCCTGACGCTCTGTGAGCTGTTGGGAAACTTTGCGACCGAGTCTGCGACGCCTGTGATGACCATGGTGTGTAACGTAGAAAGGCAATGTGATGAAAATGCTGGAAAAGGACCTTACAGCTATAAAGGACTGCGGACCGACATCCCTGGAACAGCAGGCACTGTGGAATGCGGTGCTGCCAATGCGTGTCGGAGGATTGCGGTGCTACAGCGTTTTACCGGCCTGCGGCGTCTATGCCGGCTGCAGGCAATGAGGTCGGGTCTTTTTTTGTCTGCAGTGCCTACTGTGGCCTGGAACACAAAGATCGAGGGCCATATGTTGGTGAGAGCCGGACATCGAGAGAGACCGACGGGATCCAGAGACTGATCGCACGATACGACCGGATATCGATCATATCATCATAAGAGACCTGCAGCACGTGTTTTCATCGGTGTGCTGCCTCATACTATTTAGTGATACTGATTGCCATTTGGGGAGAAATCACAGTGTGATGGATCGTACACAATTTACAACATATATACATTTACAGTCCGCTTTGTCAATACTATATCCTCACAAAATTCAGCATTGACAATCTACGATTCTGTGAAACTTGTCGAACTACTGACCTGCAGCTTCGGAAGTTTGATTTAGGCATCAGCAGTCGATCCGGGTAGAGGATCCTGCATACGCTCGACGACTTTCGTCATCCGAATGCCGTACTCGAGGGGATCGTTAGGGAAACCCTTGAAGAATTCAGCTGTTGACGCAGCTGAGCAGAAGAATTGCCCTCACCGATTCTGCCTGAGCATCGAGGAAGCTGTCCTGAATAACGGTCGGTTTCGAAGTGTATCCATGAGTAGGGAACGCACTTTGCCGGACCCGCGGGGGGAGATGACATATCCTCGGGGTTGATGCTGCTGATATGTCGACCCATGCGAGGCCGAGTTGAGCTTGGCGCGTGCATTTAGAGTCGACAGGAGACAGTTGCTATACAACTTCGATAGTGCCAGATCCCAGATGAAGTTTCTATACGCATTTTGACCCAATCAGAGCGAACAGCCAGTCATAGATCGGAGAATCCTCACACAGCATAGTGCTTGGTGCTAGGTCAGATGATGTATTTCGGTCTGAGAACAACATACCGGGAGAACCATGAAGCACACGACATCCAGAATACTGAACAAGGCACTTTATGAAAATAACTGTCAGTGCTGATGGAATGGATCGAGAAGACAGGAAGAAACACTGACGTCGCCGCGCCGGTCTGAATGGTCACTAAATTCGGGAGAACGGTCAATCACAGCCCTTTTGAATGCCGGCCGCCCCAAACCTACTGCGTATGATTCTGTCAAGCACTGAATCGGTCGCGGTGAAACCAGTCTTCTTCCTGGACTGCAAGTAACTGAGAGATGTCCTCGTCCAAGATATGGATCGTCGAAGAATACCAGAGTGATGACAAGCGTGACTGTGATCAACACGTCCGCGACACAGGAGGTCAAGAACCACACCAAAGCCGGATGATGAAGCAACGGTTTTTTGGCGAAGAGACGCAGGATCTGGATCTCTACCTGAAGAGCATAATTCATTCACAGCGAAGGATCCTGTCCAATAGAGCGCACTCACAGAAGTCCAAAGACCTCCCGCTGCACAGAACAAACTCGGATCAATAAACGCATATATCGTCGAGGCCAACTCAGACTAACCAAAGCTAGAAAGGGCCAGCAGTGCAATGAGCACCGGAAGCCAGACAGCTTTTGTCAATTGTCTGATTCGCCATGCGAAAAAGAGCTGGACTGGCATCGAGATCAGGACCTGACGTCTCGTAAGTCCGCTGGAAAGAAGTCCCCCTGAAAGACGCACGACACAGAGCGGCTCTAAATATAGCACGGCGATCAGTAAGTGCAGGTTTGAGATGGGAAATAGTAGGGCTCACGGGCCATAAAGACTGGGAGGCGGAAATAGCATGGCTTCAGCTGCATCACAGCAAGGAAAATGCGGAATCTCACGGGTTGGAAAGTACTTGGGTGTTTCTCCTAGATGAGGTTAAGTGAAATCCGAAAAAGTAAGCACGCGTGATAAAATACCGTAGTGCAGAATGAGTGGCTCGTATATGATGCCCATGTCCATGCCGGTGTTCGCTGTCTCCACGACGAAAAGATAGGACAGGAAGAGTTTCATCCAGATTGCATCCCTGAGCACCGAAGAGATGAGAATCGATAACCGACCAGCCAACCCAGAGACTCACTTCTTGTACGTTTGGACATAAGTCATCATCTGGACGGCAAGAGACCCGAGTTAGGCCAATGGCAATGTTCGTGAATGTTCCGGACCTGTATGACGAAGACCTGGGCCGTTCGAGGTCATTTCTCGATTTGAAAACTATAGGTAGAGAAAGGCACACCCCGTAGAGGATCATATTGAAGAAGACTCCGATCAGCATAGGCCCAAAGCTATTCGTATGTTAGAATTATCAGCGCTCAGAACTATTACATACCTCAGGCGAACGTCGGGGAGAGGAGGGGCAACACTAGCCATGGTCAAAACAGGAATTGATGCAAAGGGATGAGCTATGGAAGCCGGAGCAAGGGTCATTTGAACGAGCACGCGCTAGTACTTATACTCCGCGGAAGCCTGAGATCATACAGATCGCACGAGCTTCTTCACTTGTCCCGGATGAGATAGATGTCCGGCACGGCACGCGTATGACAGTCGATCCTGGGTATAGGGCAGAGAAGATCGGACCAATCAACCTGTTAGACAGAGGGCCTGATAGAGATGAATTGCTTGCGTGCAATCCAGAATTCGAACGGGGAGGTTATCTCGACAGGGTTCCGTTTGCACTGCGTGACGAACGTCCTAGCCATGTCGCGACGGTGAATTGATCATCGAGCCATGCAGGGATCAGTGCATCGGAGACCCGGAGACTAGACTGAGAGTAGACGTCCGATTACCGCGCCTTGTCCAAGCTGACAACCGCCCGAGCAGAAGCTCGCCTTAAGACCATCATCGTCCAGATGACTTCAGGATGAAGAACTAGGTGCCCAGTGGCTGTAACCCACACCAATCATGACTCGAGAACCTTCGGAACATCCGTCCTGGCAATCAGCTCGCCCGTCACACTGAGACAGAAAACTGATATAGTCGCCTCGTACCATGTAGCGAGTGACATAGCTGCAGCATCTCACCCTAGAGACAAAAATAGAACAGAGACACGCAGCGAAGAGAGATCGGCCGGACGAAGGACGGCACAGAAGACTGCAAATGTCGTCCCCTCCGCTGTTATCGTCTGTGAAAAGATGGTGCAGTGAATCTTTCATCGAGTCGGATACATTTCTGTTGCGTAGAAGATTCACGAGATCAGTATATTTCTGCACTTGGAAGGCTCAACTTTCAAGAACCCGTGGCGGCGACGTTATAAGGGTTCACCGAAGCTCGACTCCGGAACGTGCCTGCCGCACGCCAAAATGAAGTACCGCGGGAGCTGAAGTCACGACGACCGCCGTCACATAAGCCTCCCCGCATCCTCCCCCTCCTCCGCGACCGTCCAGAAAGATGTATCATCCAAGCTCGTCGTATAATCAGATTCAGGATAAGCGCTGAACAGTGGTGGGAATCGAGGCCAAATTGAGAAGAAGAGATCTAGTCATTGGGGACCCCGCAGAACAGACAGATAAATCGGTTTTTCCGGCGCAGAGCACCAGTGACGAGGATGCAGTCGGAGCTGGATGCGATGTTCGGGCTCGATTCGTGCGTATTTCCCCCATCTCGCCTCTCTCGTCCACTGAAAAAGTTCAGAGTCAGAGAGAAGAGTCTGATCAACCGTGTCTCACTCTGCATGCAGCCTGATTCTAAACTCGTTCAACCATGGTTCTTTCTTTCGAGGCAGATCAAGGGGCGGGAGCGGATCCTATCTCGGATATCGAGCCTGTCGAAGGCAAAAGAAGAGATCGAAGCAACTGATTCCAGACTCCTATCCGACGCAGGTGCCTCGAACAACTCATCGGATGTTCGGAAGCTATATGAACACTGCACAGTAGGTTTGCAGGCATTGCCCGACGACTTCATAATCGTCAAGTCGTGGGCTCTTCATTTCCTGCTATCTTTTCGCGGAGATGCAGAAGGTGACTGGTCCGAAGCGACGAACAAAGGAACAGGATGGGATTCAAATGTCGGATACACTAAATGATATAACTCCCTCAGGGAGGTTTACAACAATTGTGTGGTTGGCCAGAACCTGTACTAACTACTATGGATAATAGGGTATGAGCGCACAAGCGCTGGAGTAGCGGGTACTCAATCTACAGTAGCTGAATGGCATGCCCGCTCGATCAACAAGCGACCGCGACTACAGCGATGACGCCGAGAGCCACAAGGAACTTCCCAGAAGCAGCCAAGGGAACTCCAGCGCTAGTACCGCTGCCCGCACCCAATGCGCCTTGAAGCGAAGCAGGACTCGAGGCTGCACTGCCATTGACGGGGGTTCCGCCGACGTTGGCAACGCCCTGTGTCGGGAGAGCGAGGGGAGCAACGGTATCGGAGGTCGACTTGACGACATCGGACGATCCCGAAGCGGAGGGCTTGGAGACCGAAGACAACGCTGATGAAGGATGCGTAACCGAGGTCGTGCTCGGCTTGCGGGAGCTGGTCGTGGATGTGGTGGTGTGAGTGCTTGACGTGGTGGTCTTGTGTGCGCTGGTGGTGCTGGTGGTCCTTGTAGTGCTGGTGGTGCTAGTTGTGGTGTGGGTCGTCTTGGAAGTGGAAGTGGTCTTCTTGGAAGTGGTGCTCGTTGTCGTCTCGTGCGTGGTTGTAGCGCCTGATCCGGATGATCCAGAGTCCGAGCCGTACCACCAGGTGAGCTGGTAGTCTCCGCCTCCCGAGTTGTCCGTCAAGTAGTCGAAGAGACCTTTTGTCAGATCGAGGGAAGTCGGCGTGTCGCAAGTCATGCACTAGCGGGCAATTCAGATACTGGGGCCGGGAAGACCCCCAAGTAAACGCACTTCGTCGACGCAAGTAGCGGTCGTAGTCTTGCCCATATACGACAGCGTGAGCTGCTTCCCACAGCATGCAGACCCGTCGCCATACATTCTGCGGTCCATTGCGACGTACTGCCCACGGATAACCTTGATCAACAAGACATTCCTGCAAAAAGCGACGGTGACGCACCCAGTCGTTGTCAGTATGGGTCTTCCCGGTGCATGCGTCCCTGCAGAAGATGAGTGCCGGGCTAAAGAACGAAGCTGGACGACGCACGGGCCAGTAGTAGTCGGATACCAGGTCATCGTCCCGGTGTTACCGCGCCTGAAGATTGATTTGGCGTGGGTGTTATGACGTAGGCGCAAGTCCTTGTGGCCAAAGACGGCCGGAGCCAATAAGAGAGCAGTTAGAAAGGCGGAGAATGTGATCATTGTGTTGGCGCGGAGCGGATCAGGGCAGAAAGAGTGTGTGGGCCCGGGGGCAGGGAAGACACGAGGTAAATGTGGGGGAAAAGAAAAAGACTCGGCTCGGAGATTCGTTTGTTCCCACACATCTCGGTGCCGTGTTCCATGATCCACAAGATGATCGTAGACAGGCACAGTCGAAAATTTTCTCTTGTCATTTTCCCCCGACCTCCTTTCTGAGTGATAAGAGCTCATACTTATCATCGTAGAGCGTTGCCTACCACCCGTGCGTTGCCTGAGCGTCTGCCTGACGTCTCCGAGCTTCCAGTTCTACAGCGCCATGTCTCTGCGGCTCGGAGGGATTCTAATGCATTGTTGTTATGGTGGCAGTTGCCAAGGAGAGGCATGATCCATATGGGATCATCTCGTGATGGATGATTCAATCACGTGACCCTTGCGGCACAGTTGAACTTACTGCTCGTTCTTCAGATTTGAGTGCTCTGATGAACTTCAGTGAAGATAAGGAGCCATAATCAATTTATTTTATTCAATCTCAGCATCAGGAACTTCGAAGTCAGTATCTTCTCATCTAGCTTACCACCGCGTAAAAAATATGAGGGCTGCTCAGGACTACGGAAATAATTGGGAGGAAACCTAGGGGAGGACAATCCCTCCCCCTCACAAGCGCGCATCGTCGCAAAATGCTCACTCTGAGGGTCGAACTCAGGACCCTTGCATCGGGACATTGAGGGCTTCCACATAAGTACAATGCACTACCACTGTGCTAAGCGAGCGAAGACGACGCGGCAAGTCAACGTTGTGAAGCGACTGGCCCCAAAGAGTGGGCTCGGGACTCGCTCAGTGTTTATGCGACCGTTTTCAATTGCGTCTCGCTACTGTACTTCCTGGTGCGCTTTGAGCCTCGAAAGTTATCTGATGTGGCTGTGTGTGGCTGTGCTAATATCCCTCCCTGATCACGAACAGGCGTCTCGCACATTTCGTTGCGCATCGTTCTTAGTACCCAGCCGCAGATTTGAAAGAGTGTGCAGTCCATGAAGAAAATTATCTCAAATTCTTACTCGGTCTGACGAAGCATCCATGCTCACTGCGTGAAGCCCTTTGCACCCCACCCATCCACAAGAATCTCCGAAATCTCTTTTCATCTATCCCTGCGTGAAGCACAAAAAGTGCCCAGACGATCACTGCTTGCACCGGTTGAAACAGGTCTCCACCCATCAGTCTCGAACCGCCCACTCTCGTGTGTGACAGTAAGAGTCAGCACGCGTCGGCCCAGCCGGACGCGACCATGGGCATCACAACCTCCAGTGCACCATGACTTCTTCTCTGACGACTACGACACGCTGCTTCTCGTCCTCATCGTTTGGATCGGTATGTGCTCTTGACGAGGCACTAAGCGAGATAGATCATCGGATGAGGGGGGGGCTGCATCTCGAGAGGATTGCAAAGCAACGTCGGGATGTTGTCCACATGTGCTCTCTCAGTACTCTCGGAGCACACTTGTCGCAGAGCTGCCATGGACTGCGCGCATAGCAAACCGTGGCAGACTGACTGATAACCAGGTTACCAGTACAGTCGTAACTATCTCATAACGATGGACACCATCGCGCTGGCGTGTTCTCGATCTGCTCAGAAGGACTGCATTATGGGAGCCAAATCGTACACATCGTGCCTGTCTACGCATTCTCTGGCAACACAGAAGAACTCGACTTTGCGCATCTTCGCAGAATCCCGGAAGAGTCCTCGAGGCGCGAATGCGAGTGGAGCGGGTGATGTTGGAGAGCACATCCGACCTCTGTGGAGATCATGCCCTCATGCTGTACGAATGACGAACGAAGGACTGGCCGGAGGGGTGTGGTGATCAAGTGCGCTCTGAGGAGGCGACGGCCATCACTGAATCAGATGGCCCAGGCTACCAGCTTTCGACTCGGGCTCTGGCTTCCCGGTCCATCGTCCCACATCTGTGCCAAATTCATCCTCACCCGCCTTCGACGGAGACTGCTGCAGAACCAGCCGCCAATGAGATCGGTGAGATCTGCGACCAGAATGAGGCATCCGGACTCGACACATGCATGGAGAATGAGACGGGGTCCGCTTGGGCCTCCCATCAATGGCAATGGCGTGTTGATAGTGCGGGAAGAATGGCATGTCAGGCAGGAGTCGCCGTACCTGGACAACGGCATAGGACGAGGGGAGCGGGAAAAAAAGGCGAGCTGTGCCGGGACACGGCGAGCGGGGGCTTCGTGGGTCCCCTGGGGACTGAAGGAATGGTTTCAGCGCCCACGGAAACTTTCGCAGAAATTACGCACCCCAGATCGTCATCTCTGCTTCTTCGTGTGCATACCTTCATTCCAACCCACGAGGCGGTATGCAGGCGAGAATGTAATAGAGCGTACGGTACGGTTCGCATGAGGGTGGGGGTGGCGAAAGAGCAGTTCGATACGATCGGAGCAGAAGACCGTCGCGAGCTATTCCACAGATCACTGGTGCAATCCCGGTCGTAAGTGGGGAAGCTTGCGAAATTGGGATCTTGGAAGTTTAGAAGAGCCGTAGATGGTGGTAGCTGACTTATTCCCGCCTGGAAGAGGGCTGCAGACGGGAAACGCCCAGTGGAGTTGTTTGAGAGCAGCGGGAAGAACAACGCGCGTTCGCATGAGGCTTGCTTTGGACTCTTTCGACGACGTGTCGCCATTGACTGTGTGGGCGCGGTGCAAGGCAGAATGATCGGCGGTCAATTCATCGCGTAAGCATTTGCACTCTCGTCCGCTCCAAGTCTACTTCGCGACTCCCCCGCTGGATTCATATATCTCTGGCTCGACAGCAAGCCTTCTCCGGCGTCCACATTCTTACGTCTAAGAGCTGCAGCTCCAGTCCTTCTCGTCGACCAATCCACACCCGGCACTTGCTCGCCTCCGTTACACGCATGCGTGTATGAATATGACCGTCGTTCCAGAACCGACGAGCCTCCCAGTCTGGGTAAACCTTGAATCTTAGCCAAAGCCGCTCTGAAATCGATCTCCGCTTCGCCCGATTCTCAAAACGCATGCTGGACATGCTGCCCTGATTGTCCGGGCTCATGACGTCCGGCGTGTGAGCTATCAGCTACACTGGTCAGGCTGAAATGGAAATGTGCCTGCCAAACCATATACCAGCGACTCCCCGAGACTCTCGGCTTCCATTCTCAGTCTGACGCGCCAAGGGACGGTTTTGCGGTCTAGTGCTCTCTCGCTATACTCTCGGACTAGTGGAGGACTATCTCTTCTATTCAAATGTACAAGAATCTGGCTGCGAATAAACAGTCTATCTACGCTTCGGCACACGTCCACCGTCCAATACGCTGCCGAGAATCGGCGTCCTATTCAATGAAACGGATTCTGATAGGTGTGGCACACGAAGAAAGAGCCCGTCTTCTTTCCTCCTTGCCCCTTCCTTGAGGCCTAGAGCCTGTCTTAGCCCCGTCGAGAAAGTACACATCACGCCGACAACATGGCTGCAGTGGAGCGAGTGGCCATATAAAAGCATTTTGTTCTTTGTTCGAGAGGGCAGACCTGACAGTCGACAATCGTGTCTACTCAACACAATGTGCTGCACCTCATCAGCTCAATCAGCTCGCTCGAACACGCATTCGGCCGCCGCCGCCCGCACGACGCCGCAAATCACTGTGCCCTCTGCGTATCGTGACGGCCAATGCAGCCACTGCAGCTGGCGAGGAAGCCATGCACCGACCTGCGTCTTCTACAACCCGACAACAGCTACTCGCAGGTGCGCCCTGGATTCTATTTGCTTGCTGTAATGCGATTCCTGAGCTGTGAACTAGTGCCTGATCTGCATCTTAATACATTCCATTGGTCAAGGCTGGCATCCAATGCCCTCCGAGTATGTCGCTCGGCTTTCCTCTTTTCATGTTTATCATTGACATACTTCGAGACCAAAGGCGTCGATTTTGTTCCTGTTCCTGTTGCCCTTCGTTTCACCCATGTCTAGCATTGTATCACCATCGAACTGCTACCTCTAGCACAGTATTCTGTAGTCACTAATGCCAAGAAAAAACGGAGCATGCGTCTACCCCATTCCAATCTAAGGGGAGGTCGACCCATTTTCATCGATCCGTCAATAAACGCGTGAACACTAAAGAGATAGAGCTCCTGTCGAAAGTCGAAAGTGCACTTGCGATACAAAAGTGGTCCAGCGGGAAAATGACCGTATCAAGTCAACAACGGAGGGATTCTACATGGCTTGCCTGTCAAACGTAAGAATCTCGTAAGACTTTCACTCAGGCAGAACAGGAGAATACACATCGGCCCATAGTCTTCAACAACGTCAGCCGTGATGAATTCCACATCGAAGGCTGCATCAGGTCATTCAGCCGGACGATACAAGTGATGCGGTCTCGAGAGAATGATCAGCAACTCATAACGGAAGGTATCTCGTATTTATGCAAGTTGTATTGCGAATCCAATGGGCACGTTGCCCGTTTCAAATCGCATCATCATTGCAGCAAAAGTCGGCGCGGTCACGGTTAGAAAGGAATAGATGTGTGGCAGTGCTCACCAACCTCGCTCTTGCCACGACCACAACCTAGAGCTTTCACTCTTATCCATCCTCTCATGCACTGCCTTCAAACCCTCTGAAATTCGGAAAACCCCGAGGAATCCTTCGTCCCTCGACTCCTCCTCTTCCTGCGACTTCGATGGACAATCCAAAGGCGGTCGGCGGAAAGTTAAACGAAGACACGCGTCCTTCCAAACTTCGCCCTAGACACTCTTCGCTGTTCACCAAAGAAAATGCAATCGAACGTTTGATCACGGTCGAGCTCAATCGCCCAGACTCGTGTGCACTCTCGAAGGAAGGGAGGGGGCTACGGCGTATGTAAAGAGATGCAGGGAGACGGCCTCTCGATATGCATCCCGCTGCACATATGAAGCGCACTTTATGAACACCTGAAGCCGACTCGCTTTCGTATCCTGGTTCTCGCTCACAGGCGAAGGGCGAGAGGACATCATATCGAGACTCTTCGGGACTTTTACAGGCTAGTTTCCCATCCCTCAGGGCGATATCGAGAGAAGGGTGTCGTTCGATTCTGAAGGTCAGCTACCAGGTATAGCAACGTTTCCCATTCAACGAATTCTTCACTCAATTATGTCCTAAGACTGATTCTGGGGATGGATCGATGACGATGTCCTTGCTTCGAGTCACGGCAGCGATGTTCCGTACATCTCTTGCACCTGGAGACATCCTCTATTTTCCACACTGGGAGAAATCGAGCTTGCGCAGCTGAACCTTTCAATGATACCTGATGATCGAGAGCGGAGAGTTTGCACGTGACGCAAAGCGGAACCTTCTCAATGTGAGCCAGAATCCACACCTACACAGCGAACCATCGGCTGACAGCCTGAATTCAAGTACCTTCATCGCCGTGCTTCTTCTGCGCAACGTTTTCGTCGCCATATGGGACTATATCATTGGGAGCGTTGATCCAGGCCTATCCCCAGTCTCGGCGGCCTGCGCTTCGTCCACTCCTTCACATTTCCGGGCCCTCGCGACAATCGTAGCATTTTGGAATGCAGAACCTGTCCCTTAACGAATCATCTGCTGCGCTCCGGGTTAGGAGGGAGTCCCCCACATCCACGCCGGTACACGATATCACCTTGCAACTCAAGGCCCAGCTCGTATCCTTCGAGCCATGTCTTCGCTGCCTCTCCACTATTCATAGACTAATCGTGATCTCTTGTCCACGGTTGCTCGGAAGCATAAGTCGCCCTTCCCGTTCGGAGTCTTCAGAGCTTGAAGCACGCCCTGGTGCGCATCCGCCGATGGGGGCTCAGACTTTTCCTGTGAATGAATTGTCACACAAGACCCACTCCTACTCAATCTCTATTGTGCCGTGGCCGGATCGAGCGGAGCGTCCATACAGTGTCGTGGCAGGCATATCGAAGCATTCTCCAGGCGCGCCTTCCGATACGTACCTGCTATGCCTTGACACAGGCTCCGCGACGAGACTTCGCCGGTTTCGAAACGAGGAACGCGCTCTCAGAGACAGTATCCCTCAAGCTCGTGGGAATGATATTCCCAGCATGGAGAACGTGCACTGTGATGCGATGGATGCTCTCGGGTTGTTTGTGACAAGTCGGCCACGGAATGGCGAGCAATCAAGTACTTCGCATGCTAAATGCGGATGCGGGAATGGTTGGTTGCCACTGTGCGATAGAGGAAGCCTTGGAGGGGAGGGTCATTTACTCTCTTTCTCGTTCCATGGCATGCGGTTTGATTGCTTCCGGGCTTGATCAACTCTTCTCGGTCCAATGAAAACGTCTTTTGCCTAATCATCGCCGGGCGACTGACCGGAGTTGTGCCGGACGAAATCGTTGATGCGGGCTCGACGAAAGATTCTCATTGGGACCACTGAGACGTAGAAAACGCTAGGGTCGAGCTCAAGACGTGACAGAACTGGATTTCACATTGACAGGACTACGAGATATCAAGAACTCGGCGATATCTTTACACGAACGAGTGACCAGAGTTATCATTCGTGGACTTTTCCATCTCAAACATAGCGGATGGTGACCGAATCGCTGGACGCGCTGACGGAGGTGAGGACGCTGTTCTGCTCAATGTCAAGCAGCTGCGCGCCGCTGGGTCCGACGGTTCCGCCCGAAGCGAGGGTGGCCTTTGCGTTAGTGAAGGTGACCGTGCCAAAGTCGGCGAACGGCACCAGCGAGTTGCCCTCTTCAAAGTCCTCGACGATCCACTCGGCGTTCTCGCCGCAGAGTCTGTGGGAACCGGAGAGCGACTTATGGACGCTGCGGCCGGTGGACTCGTTGGTGATGGAGACAGTGCCTGAGGTCGAAGAGGTCTTCGTCGCGACGAGCGTGATCACGTCGCCGGCGCTGACAGAGAAGCCGGAGAAGTCGGAAGAGGCGGCGGGGTAGTACTCGTACCAGGCTGCAGAGAGGAAAGGGAGGGAGTCAGTCTCGGGGTCAGAGACAGGAAGTGCCCAATCAACTTGCCGTCATACGAAGTGCGGCCGTTGTCGATGGTAAAGTCGATCCCGGTCTGCATGATGCCGGTCGCGCAGGTGTCGCCGTCGATTCCGACCCAGGCCGCCGCTGCGTGGCTGCCGGATCCGCGGGACTTGGGGGTCGGGACGGTGAAGGTGCCTTTGACGGAGGTGTACGTGCCAGCCGGGCTCTCGAGACTCGCGCCGGCCCAGTTCTGGCTGTACGCCACGTGCGAGACCGTCGTGTTGGTGATCAGGTTCGCTGCAGCGGGGCCTTGAGAAGGAAGACGCGGGCCAGACATCCGGCGGCGGGCCTGGCGGCTCACGATGCTGGGGCGGCCGAGAGCGGAGCTGGCGAGCAGCAGGGAGACAAGGGCAGAAGCAAAGATCATCGTGCTGGTGCTTGAGGGAGAGAAGCTGGGAGGATACCTGGATGGGATCTTGGAGACCAATGGGCTCGCCGTCCATGCTTTTTATACACCTGTGGGTCCCAATCCCACTATTCTATTCCATATGCTCGCTCACGTACTTTTCAGTCCAGGGGTCGCAGTGAGAGGCACGTCACCGTCGCCCCCATATGCTGCAGCACACGCACTGGTCGTGTTATCTGTTACTTTCGCGGGTCAAGAACTCTTGATAGACGACAGCATCCGCGGCGGATTCTCTTTCACGCGCCCGACCGACGTAAGGGCGCCACGCCCGCGTTGCCGAATGACATGCCGCCATCTATGAATAGACTGGCATCGGTGGCAGCAGACAAAAATAGTCCATTGTGGAGCCGTTCGATATGCACGAGAAGATGGAGCAGTATTGCAAGCCGGTGGAAGAACAAGAAGACTGAGAGTGCGATCACGGGCCCGAGCCTTCTGGATTAGCCTAGTGCAAACCGCTCATGTACAAGACTCTTGTTCTTTTTTGTCAAGTCGCTGCTCACAACTTGGAGGCATGGGCCAAGCTAGGGGCGTAGTCACATTACGACCCATCAGAGAGCATGATTGTCAGACGTAGATTGCCAACTGAGCGAAAACGCGTGACCTCGACAATGATCATGCGATTCACTCAAGCCGCTAAGAATTTCCTTCTTACGATCTCATAGGCCCTAAGCCGCTGTGATTCCCTTTCTGGATCACTGATTCGATGAATCCATTCTCGGCGACTTGTCGGCCCCACTTCCAAATTGTCTCCTTGTCAGGCCGCATTTGTTGAACATAATCCGTGTTCCCATGACTGCATCCATGCTTTGAAATTCTGAATATCAAGGGAAGTGAGATTCACCCTAACCCTCGGCGAATCCTGAGCATGAATCAAATGGCTATATACACGAAATCACTCAATGTTTGCCCATGCAGGAACTCCTATTTACAGAGAGTGCATCGCAGATTCGGCGGTTTATAGCGAATTTTGCTGCACCGCAGGGCCCAGGTAAAATGTGACCCGTGATGGAAGAATCCTCTGCGACGAGAACCTGGTCATCAACTGTGATTTTTTTTTTGCAAGCGTTGTGATCCACAATCACCAATTGAGTATACGAAGTCGCATTCAACGACCCATTCCCTGGGTTCAAGTCGACTGCTTACGAAAGGAGCTATCTTGATTGTGCGCATGAAAACAAATGCTTACCGTAATAACGGTTCCTTTAACAGCAAAGATGACTTGAACGATTTCACAGGTTGGATTGATAAAATTATCATCATCAGAAAGTGCGTATACTACCAGTCAAGACGATCGTTCACGTGATAGTCAAATTCGACTGCAGGTACACGACATCGCTCGTGCCGATCTTGATCGTAAACACACCGGGCTCGACAGCCCAAGCGTTATTGAGTGTCCAAATGGCTAGGTTGGAAGTCGTGATGGGGATCGTGACGGTCGTAGATTGACCAGCACTACCATCAACAATTAGTTCAACCCGAATCACGTGAAGGGTGGGCAATTCGAGAGACGCACGGAATGTCAACCTTCTTGAACCCGATCAGCTGCTGAGTGAAAGTAGCGACGGAGGAGACGAGGTCTGTCGCGTAGACCTGGACGACTTCTTTCCCGCGCACGGGGCCGGTGTTATGCACGGTCACGATCACGTTGAAGTTCTGTGCAGGGCCGATTTTCGATGGCGAGACGTGGAGGTCCGTGCTGCCGTGCTGGTATTAGAAAAACGCAAAATCTTTCAAACGATGGAGACGCACTAGTTGAAAGTCCTGGGAGAATCAGAAATCAGTGTGGTTGTAAACAAATGTGATCGAAGCTCACGTGTAACTGAGACCGTGTCCGAAGCTCCAAATGGGGACTGGGCTGTTCAAAACGTACTAGGAGACATTATCAACGGCCCGTTTACTGCGGTTCTCATGAACGCACCTGGTGTCCAAACATCAAAGTGCCATCATCCAGAACCTGACCGGCATCGATGGGACGAGATCCCTTGATGTAGTTGTAGAACGCAGGCATCGTGCCAACAGAGCGGGGGAAAGACACAGGCAGCCTTCCGGAAGGGTTGAAAGCACCGAAGATAGCCTCGGCGATGGCCAGACCGCCCAACTCTCCAGGATAGAACTGCTGGATGACGGCATCGGCGTCTACGGACCGAACATTCAGTGAACAACCCTTGATAATCATAGGACAGACACTCACGCGCTTGAATCCACGGCTCGGCGACAGGCTTCCCGGAAACGAGAACGACAATAGTCGGTTTTCCAGTCGCCTTGATGGCCTGGACCAGGGCGAGCTGCGCTCCCACCAAAGCGAGGTCAGCCACGTCAACGTGCTCTCCGGTCGTCGCATTCGTTCCGGGAGTCCACAGTTGGGTCTGATCGAGCGACCAGGTCCCGACCATGACGACCGCCACATCCGACTGTTGAGCAGCCGAGACAGCCGCAGCGAACCCAGACTGGTCGTTCGACCACAGTTTGCATCCCTCCGCGAAGTTGAGCTTGACAGAGCTCGAGACGCTAGACAGGTATTGCTTGAATCCATTCAGGGGCGAGATACCGTTGTTCGACGCGTTGAAGAACACGTAGTCGCCGAAAGACACTCGATCGGCTTGGGGGCCGATGAGCGCAACCGACTTGACACTCTTGCCAAGAGGAAGGACATTGTTTCGGTTTTCGAGCAGGACGATGGCTTCCTGCTCGATATTGTGCAGAATGGCCCGAGCCAATGGCGTCCGAAGAGTCGATTTGTAGTCGGAGTAAGGGTATGGGTCTTCAGACAGGTTGAGCTTATGGTAGGAGCAAAGGCATACAAGAAACGCACTTTCGAACAGACCGAGGGAGAACTTGGTGCGCAGCATCGCAGCCGCGGTCTGGTCAAGGTATTTTTCATTGATCGTGCCAGCAGCGATTTGGTCTAGAGAGAAAATGATCAGAGAAAACTGGAGAGCGGACAAATGGTACTCACCAGGAATCGTGTAGTAGGTGAAAGATCCACCTCCCATCTCGCCGCTGATGCCATTCTCCAATGCCGTTTTGGCGGCGCACTGGCGATCGGCACATGTGCCGTGCTGAGTGATAAGCAGGTCCTGTGCGCGATGATGAGGTAACGAAAGTATAGCAGGAAAAAAGCCACAATTGAGCCGGCATCGGCGGTGACCCAGTACTTGTAGCCCCATTCGTTCCGGAGAATGTCGGTGAGCAGATCTAAAATATGTTGGCTGGGGCAAGGAGAACTGATTTTCTGAACATACGAGTGTTGGCGACAGCCGGGATACCGTCGTAAGTGGAATAGGCAGTCATGATCGACAAGCTGCCCACGCACGCACGGTCGAACGGACGCAAGTACAACGCTCGCAGGTCTCGCTCTCCACCCGTGACAGGCGCCGTGTTGCTGCGATAATCTAAGAAACAAACGGAGATCGAAGAAGGTTCGCGACTCACAGTCCACCATGCGGCGATCCAAAGGCTGCAAAGTGCTTGCATGTCGCAGCCACCTTCGCAATCGCAGTGGAGCTCGCATTCCTCCTCCTGCCCGCCTGCACACCAGTGACATACGCAGCAGCCATCTCACCCGTCAGGTACGGGTCCTCGCCGTAGTTCTCCTCAACACGTCCCCAGCGAAGCTCGCGTGACAGATCGAGCACGGGTGCAAAGACCTGCGAGAGTCCGAGCCCTTCCGCCTCCGAGCTGATGATGCTCGCGACTTGTTGCACGAGATCGGGGTTGAACGACGACGAGAGACTGATCGGGGAGGGGAACGTCGTGCCATTGTCCGTGAAGCCGTGAAGACTGGTGAGGCAATGGATGAGGACTAGAGCAGGAAAGGACCAGAGAGCTCTTCAACGCACCCCTCGGATTGGAACATGGCTGGGATACCCAGAGTCGTGTTCTCCATCATGTATTTTTGTCCAACGTTGATAGCGTAGACCTGGTAATAGTTCAGTCGAGTTCTTCCTCCACCAGGTCGGTACACGCACCAGCTTATCCCAAGGCGTCAGATACCCTGCCCAAATCGACCCTCCCTTCAATCTCACGGTCTCCTCCTGTGGTTTTCGTCAGACCAGCACGGAACACATCCAGAACAACTGACCAAACCAGTCTGGTTGAAGGCCAGCGTGTCGTCCAGCGGATCCGTCATGTTCATCCACCCATTGATATCCCCCTGAATACTGCACACAACTGAGTCAGCCTGGCCCGTCCCGAGTCGAGCACGGACAGAACTCACATCTGCGCGACCTTCTCCTGGATGGACATGCGCGGAAGCAAGTCCGCGACACGAGCCTCAATCGACGCCTGGGGGTTCTTGTACGTCGGGACAGACCCGTCGATGTTCGTCGCGCGGGACTCCAAGCTGAAGTGCAGCCCGTCCCTGACACCTAACAGGCTCTCTGCCCCCAGCACGGACGGGACGGCAACGACGAGGCACGAGACGAGGAGCCGGAGCGACGGAGAGCGGATACGCACGACCATGGTGGGCAGCCAGCGAAGGACTAAGACACCTTCGTCGCGCAGTTGGACTTAAATACCACGCACGCGGCGCCGCATAGATGCTAACGCGGGGATATAGAAAAAGTTCCTGACTGCTCATGTGACCCTTCTGAGCTATTTTCCCGACGTTTGTCCGGCGCGAAATGGTCTTGGGAAGACTCGGAATCAATTCCCGTGGTCACCATTCCAGTGGGGGCGTGGCATGAATGTCCGACGGTGACTCGGGGTTCATCTCCATCCACTCGTGGCAAATCCTTCTTCGACATCCCAGAATGACTTCGATCACCCCATGGGGTTGTATATTCGTTGCAGTGTCGCTGCCTACGCGCCGGTCGGCAAGCGAGACGTGGGCAGGGTGCATGTAGCGCCGTGGCCAAGGCAGATCATGTGGTTGATGGGGAAGAGCAGTCACCCCTTGTCACGCATCAGGTGAGAGCTTTCGGCTTGCCGGACCGGAGCATCCTGCCATGAGTCGCTTCCGCAAGGATCCCCTCTATCGAAAATCGATCTAGAGAAGTAATCAGTCGATTACATGAAGACAGCATGGGACAGCATCTACGGCATATATATCTTGCATTTTCTTGCATCCCCTTTGCATCACAGAAATGGACGTGTGGTTTCCCTTTAACCGTCGAGTGCAACTGCTGCCACCCTGCCTCGAGCTTCGCCCTCGAAACTATTCTGAGTGTCTAACTGATGGAAAAATCTGATGGCCTTGAAAATTGAAATACACGTTTGCTCGTGCGCACAATCGGAGACCTGTTTCTCGTGGGTCATGGCCAAGTAACTTTGATGCGGCCACGGTTTGGCAGGAGGCAATCATCTGAAGCGTAACTGCCCTTCGCGAGGCTCATCCAGATCTGGATGTTGCGCATCAATCATACGCAGGATACCATGGGGCTCAAGAAGTGAGGTATTTACCGGTCAGATGCTGGACCGCAGCCGCTGTCCATCAAGATTCGACGGAGCTAGCCTCAACTACTGTAAATTCTGCAATGAAGTGAACATAGCTGTTCATACATACAGAAGGACGCTGAGCATCTCGTTCGCATCGTCCGCACTGATCAAATTTATCACTTCATCCCTAGCCAAGCCTCCAATTTCCCGCCAGTCATGACTAATTTGAGCTGGAGAGGATGGTGGACACGACTTGCAATTCTTGAAACGACTAGTGACAGTGGACACCAATTACTAAGTTTCAGGAAGTTCTCGCCGTGCCCCACAAATTCGAACGAATTGAACAAGCAAAGTGTTCAGAGTGCCGGAATGTCATTGACAGTCAATGCACACAGGGCTCATCGACGAGAGCAACCCGTCCGATCCACTGAGTAGAGATTGCATGTTGGCTATAAGCAGCCGTCCTAGATTGTGCCCAAAACCAATGAAATGACAATCACAGTCTAGCTCCTCAACCGCTGCATGTTTTCAAGTTCACTCTGGAAGGATAAGATCGAAGTCGTTCCGTCGAGGTTATATCGAACACATGAACCCGGACAGGACTCGCCTGTGTCATCTTCTGGAGGGTTCTGGAGGGCTCAAACCCTCTAGTCTGATGCGGCTGTGGGCGAGAGGGGAATTCGGGGAGGATGCCCACAGTGGTCCATGCAAGTATGCCGTCGCAGTCTATATCATCACATGCTCCGACTAGGATATCGAACGGCGCACTTGATAGCCCGAAGAGGAGATCCGAAACCCGGGAAGTTCCGATGCGACGCATATATGTTGCGTCTCGTGCACAGGAGAGCCAAGTATCAAATATGCTGGCATGGACATGGGAGGCGAAGAAGCTATTCTGGTCGGAACGGGAACGTCCCCAGGCAGTTACACTACTTCTAGTATAGAACTCGTAAGGCCCACCAAGCATTACCAGCATTCATAGCATCACAGTATATACAGAACGAACCCATGGCTACTTATAAAGGACACGCCGCATATATCATGACATATGTATCATAAGAGAGAACAGCAAAGATCACAACAACCCCTGACGCTCACTCTTCTCCGCCCCAACCCAGCCTGCACCAGCCAACGTGCGCCGTATCGTGCGGGGCAGTACAAGCGGAATAGAGCCCCCAATCTTCTCGGTTGATGATCCCGAGGCCGCCCGGTCGCGCCTGGGCGGTGGAATCGGAGGCGCGCTGCGCGGCGGATCGAGGCGCCGCTGGGCGAGCGGATATCGCTGCCCCTCGAAGGTCCCGACGGGCGAGACGGGCGACGCGGGGAGACTATCGAACGGGGAGCGGAAGGAGATCGAGGAGGAAGACGGAGAGTGGTTGGGGAGCAATGCAGCGGCGTCGATTCCAGCCGCGGAATCGTCAAACGGCGAAGCAGACTCTTGCACCGGTCTTTTGGGTAGAGGAAACGGATTGACCAGGGCCGCGCTGGTCGCCCTCCTCGGCGGTAAGGGCGGTTTCGGTGCCTTAGTCTGAGCGCGAAAGGGATTCGACGTCGATCGCCCCAGTGTCGATGTAGGGGTAGTTGCGTTGGCGACGGGAGGCGCAGTAGGGACGTCAAAGACAGACGTGAAGGGCGAGTTGGGCGCCGTCAGCGTGCGATGCAGAGCTGTCGTCGATGTCGACGGTGACAGTTTGCTACTCGGAGATCGACGGAGTGGATGAACTGGGGGAGGTGGAGAATGGGTCGCGCGTGAGGGGAGTGGCGGCGGCCCTCGGCCAGGGGCGCGCGCTGGCTGACCGGAAGATAACGCGCTCAAGGCTGATAACGATACCGAGTGCCCATGGGACCGTTTCACATTCGAAGAGGCGGACGACGACGAGTTCGAGGCAAATGAGGAACCAGTGGTGTGAGCCTGGCCTCGGCTATGCGTCGACGACTGCGACGAACTGGACGAAGCGGACGAGTAGGTACCCGAACGAGTGTCCCGGGGTTGAAGCGGATGGTGTGGAGAGGTTGGGGATGGTGCCGGCGTCGGGAGGAAGGGATTACTTGTGGCCGCTGTCGCGATCGAATGGGTTGGGGCCGGAGCTGAAAAATATGATCAGGCACACTCAGGAGAGAGGCAACGCGTCCGGAAGAAGATCAACAAAGCGCATTGATGATCACCGACGGACATGGCGACGATAACGCGGCGCCGACTGAACTGGCTCCGGACGTTGCCCGGACGTGCAAAACAACACGCGCAGGTCCATAGCGGCACACGAGGCGGGGATAAGATCGATAGCCTTGAGCCACGAGGACATCCCGGTCATGCGTCGGCAAAGAACCCCGACGCCTCGAGTCAAATGAAATACATGTCGGCATCTCAGCAGCAGGACGAATCGATAGCGCGGCACCCAAGACCGTGCAGTTCCCAATCGCCCATGTTCGCCCATGTTCCCCACTCCCCGCGCTCCACATAGAGATGGATACTCCGATGGAAATGACTTTGTGGCTCACCTTGCACGAACGCCAGAGCGCGACTCACACCGCGTCCGGTCTGCGCATGAAGCACCAGTCTAAGCACCGCGAAAAACTCGCAGCCTGTGACCATCGGGCCCGATGGGAAAAAACGGAGGATCTGGGGTCGGCGTTAGGCCGGAGAACAGGAAAGAGGGCGCTGCAGATGGACGTACTTCATCGACCAGGCCAGTTCCCAAGTCGGGATACCTCCCTCGGATCCATGCCCTGACTTCCCTCAAGCTTACCTCCACACTGTCCCAATCGGGCTCCTCCGCCACGGCGTACGGGGTGTCGGTGAGGTCTGCGAGGCTGTGCGTGAATAGCGCGTGTTCCGCGTCGCTGAGCGCGGATGGGTGTAGAGAGAGCCGACGTGGCGAGTGCGCCATAGATGGAGGGGGGGAGAAGAGGCGAACGAGCCGTCTAGTGGGAAGCGAGATGGAGTATGGGAAGCAGCGTGGGATCTTTTGATGCGTGATGGGCGGGAATCTCAGCGCGCTACCGCGAGTCAAGGAATTCTGATGCGTACCCACTGGCGTCGGCCTCGTGTCTGTCGCGCGCTGCCGGGTCCGCGTCGCGTTCCGGTTTGTTTCGATTCGTGGAAACCTTCGAAACGACAAACCTTCGATCGCGTCCCTCCCGGCTCTTCCTCGGCCCGGATTCATCATATGCATCATGTCTCCATTTTCGTCATATCAGTTTTGTATTCACTTTGATGCGGCCGCGCTAGTCCTCGTTGCACGGACCAAGCTCCTCACTACGACATTCCACGCGCCCCAATGAAGAGCGTCTCCACATCTTCTGCGGGTGCATGTAGAACCGCGTCCCGGCCGGTTCTCGCTTGCTTTAGTTAGCTCCAGGTCCGCCTGCCATTCAATGCGTCATCACTGCGTCACGATGAATCACAAAGTGCCCCTGTTCCATACAGCCATTCACGTTCGTCGATGCGCCCCTTTACACACGATGACATTGGGGCTATTAAAGAGCGGCCACCTACCTGACACCTACTCTCATCGCACCTTTCTGCATCCCCACCATGGACAACTACGACAACAACAACAACGACAACAGCAGCTACGGCTCGCGCAACCAGAGCTCGAGTGCGTTTGCTCCAGGCGCCATGCTCGCCCGTCGTACTTACCCCGCACAGACAACTATGGTTCGAACAACAACGACAGCTACGGCTCGTCGAACAATAACGACGGCTACGGCTCGTTGAACAACAACAACAGCTACGGCTCGTCCAATAACGACAGCTATGGTTCGTCGAACAAGGACTCGTACGGGTCGTCCAACAACGACAACTACGGTTCGAACAATAACGACTCGTATGGCTCGTCCAACAAGGACTCTTACGGCTCGTCCAACAACGACAACTTCGGTTCTACCCGGAACAACGACACCTATGGCTCGTCCAACAACACTGACAGCTACGGTTCGCGGAAACAGGATTCGTCGAGTTTGTCTCCCACTCAGTCCTAATTCTTCGCTGACCTTTCTCGTTACAGACACTTATGGTTCTTCGAACAACGACAACTACGGCTCGACTAACCGGGATACCGGTATGTCCCATACCTGCCGCTTCTAACCCCCGCTTACCCTTCGGTTCAAGACAACAGCTACGGTTCTTCGAACAACGACTCGTACGGTTCTTCGAACAATAAGACGTACGGCTCCTCGTCCAACACCGATAGCTACGGTTCTTCGGACCGCGACAACAACTACGGGTCGTCGAACACTGACAATTACGGCTCATCGGGCAACGACAACTACGGCTCGAGCGGCAAGGCGTCGATGGGCGACAAGCTCAAGGGTGCGTCCCACCTCACCTAGACGTAGCCACGCTCATACAGTACTCCAGGCACGGCGGAGAAACTCGCCGGCAAGCTGATGGGCAATGAGTCAATGCAGCAGCGTGGCCAGGATCGCAAGGTGCGTTTCCGCTAAGTAAACTAAAAGCACATATGCTCATGTGCACGTAGAACAACGAGTTCGGCGGCGACAACTACGGAAGCAGCAACAACAACAACGATTTCTAAACGGGAACTGTGAATGGACAGTAGCATCGATACGAAGTATCGCTTGTAATTTTATCGTGAAATTTCGTGTATCAGTCGATCCTGGATCGCGATTTAACGAAAGAACATCGAAAGTCTCCATCGTCGTCGTTTCAAGATGAGGTAGAAACCCGTACATGTACAGGTCTGGCAAGGGCAGACATGTCCATGAATGGCGATTGCTCGGGCATGCCGCGGGTTTCCATGTGAATTGCAAGAGGAGCCAGAAGAGCGAGTAGACGGCCACGGGGCTGCCACTTCGAGTGAATGAATGGACTATGAATGGAGTGTTCTCACAGTTCCCGGTGCTCCATCAAGATGTGCGAGCCAACGGCCACTCCACATTCCGTGCCGGTTCATGCAGTGAGGAAGGTATCCGGCGCGCGCCGGTGGTCACGTTGCGCAAGTGAGGGCTGGCCCTGGCGTTCATCCCGGCCGGGAAGCTTCGGTTGGGATCGCCAGCCGCGGCACTTCGTCGCCGATCATTGGTGCTGGAAGAGCTGTGCTGATGCACTAGCACATACAGCCTGACTCCTGATCATCTCGTGGCCGGAGCACTTGACAACTATGTATGGCGGCACGTTTTGTCACCCTCTACTCTCCCGATTTGTCATGAGTAAGTTCGAAGCGCCGCGGAAATCGTGAGAGGGAGAAGAGGAGCGACGTGGGTATAAAGACTGGGGCTGCTGGCGTATGCGGACTTTCTCGAGCCCACTATGAGTCTCTGGAGTCTGACGCTTGTCATAGCAGGCATTGCTGCCCTGGGAGTGTATTACACCTCCTCAGCCTCAAGGAAGCGAACGCGGGATGTTGATGGATTGCCCCGTCCACCCCGAGAGTCTTGGCTATTCGGTGGGTCCGAGCGATGGTACTACACACCGAGTCTCTGAGATCTATTTTTCCAAATTCAAGGAAATCTTCTGCAGCTTTTCCTTCCAAGAAACTACGGTGATCATGAATTCGGGTGGCATGCAGAATATGGCGACGTGTACGTGATACACGGAGTTTTGGGGGTTTGTTGTCGATCCGACCTCGGACGGGTTCTCTGACGAACCCCCCCCCCCCCTCAGCAATCTCGTATGATGGTCGCGGACCCTATGGCCCTGAATCATCTACTTCGAAATGACGACGTTCACCTCGCCCCGATGATGCTCGCGCTAGCGCGTTCCTTATTGGGCCGAGGTAATGCGATGGCTCTTCGAGGTCAGCCACTGCGGAATGTCGCCGAATCGGCTCTTACTGCCGTATGTCCTAGATGCATCGCATAGGAAGCTACGTGCGGCTCTCAATCTTGGCTTTGCCCCCGCTGTCGTGAAAGGATACCTAGCAACATTCGAGTCTGTCGCTCGTGGCGCACGCAGAAATCACTTTTCCGTCTTGCTCTGCAGCTAACTGCCGGTCCATAGTGTACAACTCAGATCACCAAAGCACTGGACTCGGAGGACGGTCAGGAAGGGTCTGTCGTCAACATCGCAGAGCCGCTCTCCACGGCAACGCTTTCCGCAATTTCTCAAGGTTCGCGCGCGTGAGCGAATAAGATCGAGCCCTCATATCATGTGCTTCAGTCATCCTGGGTCTCTCAGTCGAAGCCCTGGGCGCGGAGGTGGTAGAGGCAAACGTATCGATTCTGTTGAGTGGCTTCCGAGCCCCATGTCTCGGTGTGTACTGATCGCTTCACATCACCCCCCAGCGCACAGGCGGCGCGTTATGGACGGGCTCAATTTATAGCCGAGGCGATGGCGCCCTATCTGCCTGCCCCCTTCCTTGATTGGATGTTCGGGCTTCCGCTGCCGATGTTCGCTACAATCCGCAGAGCGTATGAGCTGGGAAGAAAGGTCGGAGACCAGGTCATCCAAGAGCTCGCTCAAGCAGAGCACTCCGAGGACTCGGATGAGAGAAACTGTGAGCACTTGTATGGGAAGATCTGTGAGCTCGTGGTGACCGAAAGGAATCTCTCGCTCACAAAGCTTTGCACAGTGGCCCAGAACTCGAAGAAGGCGCTCTCACCCGATGAACTTGCTATGCAGACGAATCTTGTCCTCATCGCGGGTCAAGACACGACGGTTCGTGTCCAGCTCGGAATGCAGCCTGTCGCATCATGAATCCAACGCAAATTAGGCAAATACACTCGCGTTTGCGCTCGCAGGACTGGCTCGACAACCGGCGCTCCAGGAGGCCCTGCGTGCCGAGATTCGCAAGGCGCAATCAGAACCTGAGATTGATGACGAGTCGCTGCCATTACTCAACGCGGTCATCAAGGTCAGAGCGCACTTCCAGAGGTCAATCAACTCACGGAGCGTTTTGCAGGAAACCCTCCGTCTGCTTCCGGCCGAGCCCATTGCCGAAAAGATCGCCCTCGTCGACCTGACTATGCCGCTGAGCCGACCGGTAACGCTCTCCGACGGGAGAGTCGTGAATCAGCTGTTTGTTCCAAAGGGCCAGCTTGTGGGATTGGCCTTCGCAGGGTACCAGCGGTATGCCCCTCCTCAGGGTTGTTGCGTTGGCGCTGATTCTGCCACTGCAGTGGCGAGACGCGCTGGGGTCCTGAACCTGAGGCATTCAATCCTTACCGGTGGATCGAGGGAAAGGTCGGCGTCGATGCACCGATGGCAACGAGCCCTTATGCCCACCTGTGAAGTCCTCCTTGCACGCGATCGGACAACACCTCATTCCAGTCTGACAGACTCGCGTTTTCAAACGGACCGCATGTGTGTCTTGGGTCAGTCAAAAGCCGACTCTTTCCCCCTTCCTCAATCCGGCACTGATCGTTTGGGGACTACAGGTGGCGATTTGCGTAAGCGGTACTGCCTTCAGCTCACTTCGGGACTGAACCTAGCTCTGCATTGCTGCAGGATCCTCGAAATGCAGGTCATCCTCACTGAGCTGATCCCGAATTTCGTGTGCAAAATCCCGGAGGACCCGGCTTTAGCGATGGGCTTCAAATTTTCCAACACGCTGGCGCCGTGTGACGGTAAAGGAGACAAACGTGCCTGGCTTCTTGTGGAGCGAGTACGGGACTTGTGAAACTCCCAACATGACTTATGCGGCTATCCTATACACGAGTCTTTGCATGTTCGATTTGAACTTATGGCATGCCAGCGATATCCCCCAGTCTTTGAAGTGACATGTGCATTTGAATTTCTGGTCCGAAAGTCCCCGTATCTGTTGTGCGGCGCCTGTATGGTGCTAGGAAACTTCCCACACAGCAGAAGGCTTCGCGGCTCACTTTTCGGCTTGTGAGCATCCGGTGCGGCCATGCCAGAAGTTTGAAGATAACCCCAGCTTAAATTCGTTGAGATATTGGCCGAGTTCTCTGACGAGGTCTGGAGTTGGCCAGTGGGATCTATGTTCAATAATATCTAGCTGCGAGCAAAGGAAACGACGACTGATTGATGCGCTCGGTCATCTCCGGTGATGGGAATACATCACACGTGATCGACATTCTGGAATGAAGTTCAGACAGAATGAGCCCGTCTGTCTTAGTTTGTGTCCCGGTGTCAAAATGGTTCGAATTTGAGCAAAAAATATCTCGTTGCTTCTTGTGCACAGGTAGTGAGTGGCGTGCTCTGCTGTAAACCCGAGTAACTGGTTGCAACGATGATGATCCGACAGCGAATGAGGTCACTATTCTCAATGAGGTATCGGCAAGAAAGAAAGCGCAGATTGACGTAGCCTTTTTCGTCAACAGGTTCCGAGAGGAAAGCTCCCCAAGTTTGACACTATCTCTGTTGTAAATCTGTAGAGAGCTGTTTTCAGTCGATCGTCATCGGAATGTGAACAAACCCTGCATAGCATTCGTTGCGCTGGCAGCGGATTAGGGTCGTTGTTCTAGACGGACCTACATTGAGTCACACCAATAGTCCATGACAAAGATCAGCCGATACTTACCACAATTAGCTAGCCTGTAGTCAACCAGGCACAGCTATTGGGAATAATCCGTTATGAATTCCTCGTGCTAGGAGCAGCGAGAATTCTCCAGCCTTGGAATAGGCTCGACAGGGCATGTGGCCAAAATGCGTCCAAGACACCGCGGACACTCCGCAGTTTTCGATTCATTAGATAGGAGAGGAGTGCGGGCCGGATGTTTCCTTCCCTGTTTCTAGGCTGTCAAACACCACATCAGATGCAGACGGCACCGAACGGTCCGGTCAAGTTCCGGGGATCATTCTTCATTTTCGCTCCCGCATCCTGGACCGAAATTGCGTTCAATGAACAGTTGATCTTGGTTTAAATTAAACTAGCTACCGGCGTGTCATTCGAAGCAGGACGGCGCTTCCTTGGAGGTTTTACAGCAATTCGACAGACGCACTCCCATTGACGACCCCACGGGGAATATTTGATGTTCTTGATCAGGCACAATTGTTTTCGTTCATCAAAAGTAGACAGTATATCACCGATATTCCTCCGTCCTAGCAGGTCAGCAGACGCGCCTCATTTACCGAATCCCCGTGGCACGTTTAAAAACAGGCTGTCAATTTCAGTTGGTTTTCGACGTGTGCTTGGTCCCTACCCCGCTCACCCCGCATTCTTCGCACGAATCCACCGCAACGACCATCATGTCTCACCAATTCGAGGACGCACAGGGAGGGGTCGTGCGCGTCGACAACACGCGGCTGGCCATCGACAACTATGCGGAGGTCATCAAGGACGCCGCCGCGGCCGACGCGGCCGACCACAAGCTGTCCGTGCGCGAGGCGTTCCGGATCTACCGCAAGGCTGTGATCTGGAGCGCGCTGCTGTCCGCGGCGTTGATCATGGATGGGTACGACGTGGTGGTGGTACGTCCCCAACCTCCCTCGCTCTCCACGTCTCCGCGGATGCTCAATCCATCTCGCGTTCGCAGATCGCGTCGTTCTACGAGCAGCCTGCGTTCTTGAAGCGATTCGGTGTCACGGACAACGCGGGGCACCGGACGATCCCCGCTCCATGGCAGTCTGGACTCGGAAACGGTTCGAGCGTCGGCGCTATCATCGGTCTTATGATCAACGGCTGGGCGAGCGAGCGCTTCGGACCGCGCCGGACCTACATGTGCGCCATGGTTGGGATGATTATCAGCATCTTCGGCCCCGTATTCAGCCAGTCGCTGGCGGCACTCACTGCATCGGAGATTGTCTGTGGGATGTTCTGGGGAGGTATGTGCTCCTGTGCGAATGAGTCGAGACTGCATCTTGTTGACCCAGAGCGCAGTATTCCAGACTTTGACCACCGCCTATGCCTCGGAAGTCTGTCCAATCGCACTGCGCCACTACCTGACTGCGTGAGTGCGCTTAATCTCCGCACTTCTTTCCAGCCTCACCCACCGGCTCCCTTCAGATACATCAACATGTGCTGGGGCTTTGGCATCTTCCTCTCGTCTGGGGTGGTCCGTGCGTGTCTGACCATCAACTCCGACTGGGGCTGGCGTCTTCCCTTCGTGATCCAATGGGTCTGGCCCATCCCGCTGATCCTCGTCGGCTACTTCGCACCCGAGTCGCCGTGGTGGCTCGTGCGCCAGGGCCGGCCCGAGGAGGCCGAGGCGAACGTCCGGAGACTCACCAACCCCGAGCTCTTCTCCGAGCAGGATGCCAAACGCCAAGTCGCGAACATGATCCACACGACTGCCATCGAGCGTGAGATGCAGGCCGGGACTTCTTACCTGCAGTGCTTCAAGGGGATCGATCTGCGCCGGACCGAGATTGTGAGTGGCGCGCGTCGGTCCGTTCGTGGCCCATGCTGATCAATTCTCAGGCTATGATGGTGTTTGCCTGTCAGTTGCTCTCTGGGCAGAATCTGATTGGACAGGGTGTACAATTGTCAGTTTGAACCGGAGTAGATGTGGGTGTATACTGACTCTTTCCAGCTTCGCACAGGCTGGTTTGAACACCCTCGCTACTTACAACCTGAACCTGGCCTTGAATGCTGTGAGACTCTCTGGACTTGACAGCGATCCCCGTGCTCACCTAGCCCCAGATGTTCATCATCGGCACCGTCGTTTCCTGGTTCTGTGAGCAGTGGCGCGCTCAATGATGCTTGTCTCAAAGAACTGACCCATCACACAGTCCTGGCCCGGTTCGGCCGGCGCACGATCTACTTTTCGGGGATGGTCGTTATGGCCGTCGTCCTGCTCATCATCGGCGCGCTTGGCTTCCACCCTTCCAAAGGGTCCGAATGGGCAACAGGCAGCCTGCTCATCTTCCTCAACCTGGCGTACAACTCGACGCTCGGCGCGGTGTGCTACGTGCTCATCGCCGAAGTCGGCTCGACACGTCTGCGCGCCAAGACGGTCGTGCTCGCGCGGTGCGCGTACCAGGTCATGAACATCATCTGCGGCATCATCGTCCCCCGCATGCTCAACCCGTCCGCGTGGAACTGGGGCCCCAAGGCTGGCCTGTTCTGGTTCGGCAGCGCGACCCTCAGCGCGTTGTATATCTGGCTGCGCGTGCCTGAGAGTGAGTCGCGCCCTCCCCATCATTTTCTGTGGATGATCTAACCGTGATACCACAGCGCGCGGCCGCTCGTACGGTGAGCTGGACGTGTTGTTTGAGAACAAGGTCCCCGCTTGGCGATTCCATAAGACGGCTGTTGATCGTGCGTGGCTCCTCGTCCTCCTCTTCACACGTCCCCTCGCACTGACACCATCTCCCCAGAATTCGGACTAGGCGACCGTTCGCCTGCGACCGAGAAGCTCAGCGACGAAATGAACGAAAAGGCGTGAAAACGCACATGTCTGCTACGAATTTCTTCATGTATATCTACGAATTAGTGATAAATTAGCCACTCACCTGGGGTCCCTATAAACGCGTCTACTTAGTCATCCTGTATGTACTGACTGCAATGGAAGCATCTCTTGATTTTGATTTTTGGGTAGACATGGCTGTGATCAAGGGGACGGCTTGGCAACCGCCGGCAAGGCCCGGGGACGTCATCAAGATTACATGCATTTGCATCCAGGTCTTGGTTCGGTAATCCTCTTGCCTCAGGAACAGCCGTCTGTGACTGCAAACCCACTAGGCATTCCAGTGAATTTAGAGCATCGTACGATCGGATCGAGAACGGAGCGTAAGCAATCGGACGACAAAAAATCATTCCATTTCAGAGTCGTGTGCACAATTATAGCCGGGCTGGACGGAACGTCTATAACGTACAGTAAATGACATGAATACAGTAGAATACGAGCAGATAGCATTACATAGATGGCAGAACAGGCGTGTGTCGTACAGAGCTTCGCCGACCGAGGGGCCGGGAGTGGGACGCAGAGTGTAAACACCGCAATGCAGGGTGGAGAAAAGGTGGACTCCGGTCGTGGGATCGTGATCATAGGTGGGTGGTAGGTAGGTCACAAATGACGGACTTTGAGGAGTGCGATTGGAGAGAGTCCTTCAGAGGGCGGGGAGAGTCGGCGGTGACGAAGTGAATGTCTCGCATCAGGGTAGCGCCTGGCGCAGCACGGCCTGGACCTCGTTTTTCCCTTTCTCAATGAACGTCCACGCCGCCCGCCTGCTTTCCATAAGCCTCTCCTTCCCAGACGTTTTCACTTGGCCTTGTGCCAATCCCGACTCCCCATCTGCGCACGCCGCCGGACGCGCCATGGCAAACAGCATGCCGAAGAGGAACAGCACGGACAGCAGTACCCCGAGCGCGACCATCACGAGCAGCGAGTACACCAGCAGGAAATTGAGGCTGCGCGCGACGTCCGTCATGTCCTGCAAGAAGCGCGCCATCTCCTCCCTCCACCGGTCGTCCGCGCCAGAAGGTAGTCGGGCTGCTTGTTGTGTGCAGAGCGAAACGCACCGATCGGCGAGGGCAGGCATCGATCGTAGAGGACGGGTGGGCTGACTGACTTGGTAGGAAGCGAATGACGCCGATGAGTCCCGAGAATTTGCATGCTTTATAAGAAGGCAAGAAGAAACCCGGCGCGGAGACGGACAAATCTGGAGAATGACACATCACAAATGACTTCGCCGGACACCCACTTGAATTACCATGCATCGGCAATTTGCGCAAGAATGATTTCATGCTCGGAATTAGCTCAGGGTACTCTGATCCTTCCTTCGCCTGCACATGAGCAAGGTCCAGACGCCAGCTGAGCTTAGGTAGATGCAGACGGCCCCCGATTTTAAAATCGATGATGCATCATGCCGAAGGCAGGGAATGGGTCATGTCAAGCTCAATGATGAACCGGATCATTGACGTCATGTTCTGCGATCGACTCGGAGTAGGTCTAGTCTCCCGGGTTTATGGTACATATCTCGGTTTGGACGCGGTTCTGGGCTAAAGTGGTTCGATGTGGGTGGGCCATGCTAACGAGATTAAGGTTATGATAGTCCTGCGTGGATCTTGCGTCCGACAATTGAAGCCGGCCGGGTGGGTGACAAAGCTGGCCTGGGCTATAGATGCGAGGGGCTTCCCTCTTTGTCAGGAGGTCGATGCCGGATGATGCCGTCGGGGAGAAACGATCGAGAACTTTCGTCAGCGTCACTGCCCGTCACAGGCTGAGCATGACGGCGAGCATATTACTGTAATCATGGTCCCAACACATTGTAGATAGACGCGCTAGTCGTAATAAATCCACCTGCGTTCAACGTGTCTAGCCGGAGCCGGGCAAACTAATCTCAATCTCTCAATCTCAATCCCAATAACGATCTCCTCATGACAAAATCAAACGCGTTTACAAGGAACGTCAGTAGATCTTTGAGCATAGCTGGCAATCCAATCCGTTAAGCAACAGGAAAATGAGCCCCCCCACTCAAGGTCACGGCGATGACACAGGCGGAGCGAAGAACCCTTCTGCGGTGATCCCAACAGCCTCGACCGCGGCCCCACTGGCTTTGGTCGTCCCCCGCCCAATCGCAATCGATCCTCGCTTGCCCACAGTGCCCACACCCATCGGCCCAGACCCTTTCTCGACGCTGATCAACGACCGCGACCGAACAGATCCAAAGGCGCCGCCTCCGCTCATGATGGACCGGGTACCGCCGAGCGATCCTCCACCCGAGAGCGTTGTGCGATGCCGGGGTCGGAACGTGCCTTGGCCATTGCTGTGGCCGTTCGGGCTGCTGCTACCCCACGCGCTGGGCGGCGAAGCTGCCATCGGCGAGCCTGGACCAATGGGCATCACCAGCATCCCATCATCCAAGTCCTCGTCGTCATTCTGCGAATGTGCACTGCGCACGCTCTGCCGGCGAGGAGACGGGGGTCGGTACTCGTAGGCGGATGACGATGCGGATGACGAGGCAGAGGGGGCTTCAGCAAGAGGCGCCTGCGCTTCTGCTCGATCTGGCAACTCGTCGAACACCTCGAAGTAGCGCAGGATGCACAGCTTCACGATAGCCCCCAGCGTCGTCTTGCCTTCCGGGAAGACATCCGTGCTCGGCGACGCTTCCGGTGAGAACAGCGCGGGCCCGCCCGGTACCGAGCACATCCAGACATCCCGAATCGGGTTCGTCTTGCTTTTGACCAAGTTCGGAGACAGCACAACGGCCAAGTTATGTGCGTCCATCCGATTCGACGCGGCGCGCAGCGACACGTCGTGCATCAGGTCTGGTCACAGTCAGCAATAAGTCGCATTCAGAGTACACGACGCACGGAGCACATTGCTTAGCAGGATGTATGTGCACAGCGGCAGCTGTGGTAGGATGCTGTCACGAACATACGCGACCGCAGCCAAATCCCGCTCGATCGTCACAGAATCGCTGGTATCCAGCGTCGCCGACGGGGCTGGGCAACGGCGAATCACCGCATACAGGCTCTCAGGGAAGATTGGCTCCGGCAGATCGCGGAGGTACTTCTTGACGAGGACCGCAGCGAGATGCGGGTCCCCGAATGTCTCCAGCGAGACAAAGTGGCCTAGTCAAATCAGTACGAGCAACAAAGGGGAAGATAACCATGCCCACCGCGATCGTAAGCCTCCTGCGCAGCGCGTAGCATCGCCGACGACGGAGAACGTCTGAACAGCCCTTCCTCCTCTAGTCCCGTTTCGCGGATGAACTGTATGCAGTCCTTCACGGGCCTTGGCAGCCCGCCCTTCTCCCCATCGAAGCCCATGAGATCTTCCAGTGGTACGCCAAAGATGTGTGTGTCTCCTCGAGTCGTTACAGGCATCGTGATCTTGCTCTCATACTTGAGGTTCTCCCTACGAGGGGAGTCAATTTCGGCTGCCCGGAGAGCAAAACGACGCGACGCACTGGTACACCGATGGGGACAAGTCGATTTGGGTGATAGGAATGTGGAAAGCAAGCTCGGACAGAGTGCCTATGTAAGCTATCTTGCGGAAGAACTTAGGACTGATGATCGCGCCAGCTAGACTGAAAAGCACTGCGCTGATGAGCTGCGGGATTCGGGAAGAAGCAGCACGACGCACTCTTCGAGAAAAAAGACGAGTGGATAATGTACAGCCGCTTGAGGTTCTTGCGGTACTTGCGGCTGAGACTCCTATACGCCTTCCACACCCAGTTCCATCCCGGCGTATGCCTCCCTCCAGCGGCGAAGAACACAACGGTGTAGTCTGATTCGACATAGAGATTGAGGTACGCAAGCACACGGCTGTAGCCAGGGAGGGCAAGTGAGCGGATGTATTGTCTCGAGCCAGGCCATGCACGCACGAAAGTAGCACATCGTAGTCGACCTCCCTCGGATCCGGGAGCGCAGACGCATTGAGAACGACCCTTCCTTCTCGTCAGCAGCCAGAAAGACCCATGCCACAGCGACGACTGCACACATACATCGGTCGCGTCCTACACGTAAGGTGAGCTTGCATGAGCAGCTGTTATCTTTGCCTGACAGCCGAGCGACGTACTCGAAATCCACGCCAGCCTGGAAGATCAGTCGTGTCAGGACGTCGTCCACATTATCCCGGCCCGCGGTATGAGAGAAGGCGACGTAGTCTTCGGTAGGTCTCTGCCGCTTCGCCGTCCACGGAGCAGTGAATTTCCGCTTGAAGGCTGACGCGGAGGGAGGACTTGAGGGGCCGGGCGACGGAGATGACTGGGCTAGGGAGAGCGCCGCAAGCCTCTGCTTGAGCGTCGCTCCTGCCTTGAGGGTCGGCGGCATCGGGAGAGGAGGCTGGTGGGAAAACTGGTTCCAGGAATGATGATTGATTGCATGTGTTTGATCGTGATGTCTATCGTTTCCCCTTAATCGAAGTGTCGTTTGGATTGATATCTTGCACGAAATCGGCATTTGGCTGGACTACAGATAGCACGCTAACGTGGACCGTCCGGACATTTCATTTCTGGCCAATCTTCGAGGCTGCATGTATGATATTCGACGAATACTACTGAGTGACTACTCCACTACACCACTGCTTCTTTTCAACAACTAGGACTGTTCCTCGGCACCCTCCGAGGTGAACGCCTCCATCAGCCAAATGCGTATCTTCAAACGTAACTCGCCTCCTCAGGCAGCTTATGCTCCAACTCCGAGAATTTCTCTGAATCAGCGAGGTTCCTTCCCATTCGGCACGGGAGAGGGTCATGTGTTGAAGGAGGGATCTATCTGTGCGCTCCCGTTCGCACGACCATCGCCCATGCAGTACGTCCAAACAGCCCGCTTCTCGAAAACAGGAATCAATCTGCCAGACAATAGAACGGGTCTGCTTTTCTGACTTTCTCTCCTTCAGGGTGTAAACCCGTGTTTCAGTCATTTCCCATGATGGCAAACCTGACCTGGGAGAGATCAGGACACACAGTAAGGGATATGCGAAGAATTTTTAGAAATGGAAGACCGCTATCCCAGGCAATTTCCGCCATCGCTCGATAGTAGCGGACCTCATATCGAACTGGAAAAGATAACCGCTGGAAAATTGTATCAGAAAGGTGGTAAGAGCAGCTCGATACGTACTCAACTGATGCTATAAGAAGTCATCGATTGTAATAGCCGACGTACTATCGAGTTTCTTTGCATTGAATTCACGTACCAAGCATTGTAAGCAGAGCCTGAGCGCGGATACTATTCTCTAGTAAATCTATCAAGTAGAGCTCGAGCATGGTATAGAAAAACTGCACCTGACCGCTCCCGTTCTCACGAGACTGTGCAGCCATCTACGCGCTGAGGACAATCAAACAGGATGGATGGATTGGCGGGGCGGAAAGAGCGCAGATAAGACCCAGATCCCTCAGTGCAAGATAGACGCGCTTGAGGCATAAGAGTAGCAAGTTCTGGCGTGAAACCGGACACGACATCATGGCCAGGTTATTTGCCCAGTTCTTGTTGGAAGATTTCCATCGCGTTCACGGATGGAGTATACCAGCAACAGTGGTGGATAGACGACTGTATCCTGGTTTCATTCGAGTTCCTCGATTATCTCGAACAGACAGCGTGGAAGGTAGTCCAGATGAGTTCGTTTCTGGACGGGCTCGCGGCGGATAGAAAACCCTGTCGATGAACATGCGTCCTTGATTGATTATCTGGTGTTGGGGAGCATGAATTAGCTCGCGAGTTTCGGAGTGCAGATCCAACAGCTTGAGGGCATCGTGCAGCCACAGGTTCCGTATTAGAATTTGGGCCGTGATTCCTTTTGTGTGTCGGACGGTGACGGACAACGAGGCCTTCGGAAACAGTAAAACCATCAGTGTGTCCAGTACGTTAAGTGCCGGATGAGCTCCAGTATTGAGGCGTCGGGAGTAGTTGCATTTGTTGGACACGTGAAAGATAGATCATGGATGATTCGGCAGCCGTGATGAAATGGGCGCGGTTTCGTAAATAACATGCTTCAAGTCCTCTGGCAACAGGCCGAAGATGCGCTTTCAAGTTCGCGTCCAGCCTGTATCATTATTTAATTCATCAGTGACATGCGCCACAAGGCGGTCAAAGAGAATCTGGGGACTGGAGAACATCGAGAGCCTGTGGCAGAAAAAAGGAGACGAACCGAAGGAAAGGTGAGCACGCAGTTTCTGGAAGCCACAACTCTGGGTTGTGTCCGCAAGATGCCGAGTGGGAAAATGTCCTGACATGGCCGATCAAGAGATAACGGGTACTCGAAGCAGGATACCAAAATAAATACCACTGCGGAAGTCTCAGTCCTTGTGCGCGGCCAATGGACGCCGCGTCCGAAGGACAAGGGCAACTTCCGCGTACACCGCATGACCATGGGTCGCTCCGAATGTCGCGACATTTGGAAGACTGAACGATATCAGGACCTCTAATGATCCAATGCAACAACGGGAAAATTTTGCCAGGATCCGGACCCGAAGAGCAGCTCACTGCCGGACAAATACCATCGGTGGACCCGACTGCTGACCTGGAACGGTGAAAGGTTCTGTTACTGCTTTCTCCCCAGAGTTAGTGAGCTCTGGGACTTCAGGATTGGCTTTGGGCACACTCTAAAGAGCACTCGGAAGGAAGAAAATCGACTAGTTTCTCTCGAGCGTGACTGACATGAACAAAACAAACTGACCCTAATCCGGCCAGAATTTGGCCAGAAGAAACGTTTGAAACTGGAGATTTTGATCCTAGCCCCGTCCAATCGCCAGCGTATCTCGACCGTGATATTTCTCGTTGCGGAATGAAACGGGCATCATCCATATATAGAAATCTACCAGGAAACCGGGTTTACATCTTCCTGTCAGTATTGGAATGCCACGCAAGAAGAAACCCATCACGTTCAATGGCACCGCCAAGCATTTTCCACGCGCGTGGTCCACAACGGAGAAGCTCGCTCGTAACTATTTTTTTTGCATGACCCTGCCGGAACGGATCCCCGGGCTGCATATGTGGCGATCTCGGGCATCGTGGGGGTCGGACAGTCCATGCCTCGGCAACCAGAAAATGTGGGATCAGCCCGTTGTTCGGCGTCGGCCGTATCATCAGTCGTGATCGATGGTTCTCAGGCCGTCGAGTCGCATTAGGCCGTGGCGTAGCGAATGGACGATTGCAACCACTGCCGCGCTCATCGATTAAAATTTTCAGTCATGGGGCCAGTGGGAGCAGTGGCTTACAGCGTCATTTTTAAATGAGACAGAACAAACAAAGTTTTTGTCTTTAGACTGCTCGGCAGATCACTGTTTATTCTGTGGGTCCCGTGCTCCCGATCGAAGCATGGTTACTTGCGCTGACGTCATGTTTCATATCACAATAACGTTCCAAAGCGGTAGACGACGGGCGGTATTGGCCCTTTGAGACTGCCTCTTTCACTTCCGTTTGTATTGCGCGGTACTCACGCGGCGCTCATTTTTCCCTCTAACCCCAACTCCACGGTCACATGGGGGTCTGCAAGTATCCACGATCGATGGCGATTACGATAACACCCGGACGTACCTGGTGGGCATGGCGATCACGCGCCAGGAAAGGCATCTCTTTACAAGACTGGTATCCGGATCATCACTCCTCCCATCTCGGTATCTGAACAAAGGCGGAAGGCAACAAATGCCGGGCCCTGGGCCAGATGCTCGAGTGTATATAAATGACTCGACGGAAGGTTTTTCAGCATCTACCCCACCTACCCACACCAAGCCCGTCTCCAAAACTCCCCCAGCTCCACCATGTGCTGCTCCCACCGCTCCACGTCTACCACGTCGCCCGCCGTGCCCGTTTCGAAGCAGACGACCGAGCCTGCCGCCCCAGTGCTGAACAATGGCCCGCAGTGCGCGCACTGCGGATGGCGCGGCGGAGGACACGCGAACAACTGCCCCTTCCGTGCGTCTGGTCTTCCTCTCTTTTGTCCCTCTCGTACCCTCTGACGCGTCCGGCACGATCCACAGGTTGAGCACCGAAATACACGCCTACTCTGCTCTCGCTCTGCCTCCCTGCTTTCTTCCCCACTGTGCGTCGTCTGCCCCCGTCTCCAGTTGCCCTCAAGCTCTGACCCCCAGCTCCCGGTGCAGATAATCCTAGATCGTGCTGTGCTGCTCCTGTATTCTGTTTTGCTTCGCATGCATATGCCTGACATACCCCTATCCTACAACAACGCTACATATATACATACCTACATGTATATCGTCTACTTCCCGCATAGATGGATGGATGGATGGATGGGAAAATTTATCTGCTGTATGATTTCCTGATCTCTGTTCTCGAGCTCCGGTTGAAATTGGAACTGCTTTCCACGTGGGAGCAACTTTCTCGTTTTCGGTGCGGATCTTTTTGAGGACGTTATCGATCCGAGGACCTTCGGTTACCTCGGCCGCCCGTGATGCGGTCTGAGGTCGGGGGCCGAGGCCAGATTCCATGGCATGATATGGCCAACGGATTGGCAGAGAGGAGTACTCGGCTCAGCACACCTCCTACGTACACAATATTCCGCTCAGCGCTTATCGCCCAAGACTCAGCAGGTCTTACTTAAGATCCGGACAACCCGCAGAAGACTGAGCGAAAGATGGATGCAGCGATGGATGGATGGATGCGATGCGATGCTTAGCCCGCATGGTCGACACTTGATGCCGATTCCATGTTCAGTCCGCCTGTCAGACCCACCTTTGGAAGCACCAGAAAACTATTATCCAGGTGCAAAATGCGGTCGCGATAAGCCTCTTGTCCAGAGCTCACTAATCAGGGTGGCGTGCGCTCGGAGACATCGGGGTGCCGCAGAGAAGGACAGTGGGTCTAACGCCGGCGTGAAATCCGAGTGGCAGGCGGTCGGGGTCGCATTATCCTTTCTGTATACTTCTTGTCATTCACGTGAGTGTAATCTCCCTGGTTATGCAAGGGTAAGTCAGTTCGATGGACGATCTGAGTACGTGTGGGGAAGCGTCTGCGGAATCGTTTACTGGCTTGCTCTGAACCTTCGATCAAAACAGTCCCAGCGGTGTAGAAGTCTTTTCTCGGACAGCTGGAATTGGCTGTGATGGAATATACTGCTCTCCAATCACCGAAGAATGCCCGATGCTCGGGGTGACTAATGCCTCGCGTCCAGCATCTGACTCGGAAAAATCGGGCAAGGGAGTCCGAGAGCGTTAATCTGAAACACAATCCACCTCGGCTCCCTCGCGGGGCACTCGGGAAGCGGCATAGCGCACAGGAAGAGAAAAGTCCTGCCTCTTGTTTCGTCACGCGGCACGCCTCAGTGATTTCACTGGGTTTCTGATCATTGCGGGCAGGATGGTCTCGACTTGAAGCTGCAGGTCTTACAAGGACTCTGTGTTAAGTCGCGGTATACTAACGGGGGATAATATTCTCGGGCTAAGGGGATAGCGTGCTTGCTTAGCACTGGTGTGTATATTATTCTGGAATCGGATCAGACTGGGCGGGATGAGTATCTGGTCAGTCAATTACATTGGTTCCCATTGGCTAGGGTTGAAATACACATTCATCTCATGCAAAGTACTCAAGAGTTGCCGGCAAACTTGAAGACCATTCTCAGTGTGATGGCATCCCGTAACGTTAGCTGTGATAGATGCTCATGCTGTGAGTCGAAGTCTACATTGAAGCGGAGCATGTAAGGTTAAGATTTCGCTATTACTGCGGAAACGCAACTTCTTGAAACCCTGCGTAGCAAACTTGTTTATTCTCCAAGGAGGTCTCACTTTAGCATACCGGATTCAAAACACAGCGCACACCCTTGTAGATTAAACTTCTCCCACATATCTTGTCTTTTGGGCGGAATGATGCTAGTGGAGGACAGGGTAATCAGATTATGGAAAGTTTCAGAGATATATCAAAAGACTATGGACAAGTGACCAGGAGAATCGATCAACTAGGATTAAACCACCCATATAAGCCTGCTTCAAACCGTAATGCAGCACTGCACCCTCCGCTTTGCCTCAGAATACAACAGCACCAACAAGAGAAACAGCCGGTCGTCCTCGTTACGCAGCGTCAGGCTCATGCGCAGGACCGGCACGGACGTTTCGCCAGCGCCGAAAGATACCGCAGATAACTTAAGCTCTGCAACGATCTCGCCTCGGTCGTTCGAAGCCTGGAGCGGTGTGAATGCCAATGGGAACTGTGCACTCGTGAAAGACAGCAGGACACGCACCGTCCAGCTATCCCCCGAATTCATGTACTGAATCCGGAACTCTTCGCCTTCCAGCCACTTCCAATATCGTACGCTGCAGAATCAATCCATCATTTTCCCCTTCAATCGAATCGAATCTGTCGCACTCACGCAGACAACATCCCCGCCTTGCGCTTCATCGTATCCACCCATTCGACTTTGTTCCCGATCCTGAACGACTTCTTCTCCCAGTCGATGACGCCGCAGATTGTCCCGACACGATTCTCGATCGTGGTCTCCGTGCGCGTGGAATAGTCGTCCGAGTAGAACGTGCGGATGCCGTAGCGCCGCGAGTGGTCACCGCGATTCCGGATCACCGCTTGCAGAACGTTCTCTGTGTCGAAAGGCAGGTCCTGCAGAGCGTGCGTCACGGCGGGCATTGCGGTCTTTGGTGTTCAGTGCGGCGGATGAATGAGCGTGAGGAAGGGCAGTCGATCGAGCTGGGTTGGGAGGGAGAAAGCGCCGAGATGGATTCCACCAGGAGACAGGAGATCAGGTTATTGTAAAGGGAGGTTATGAAAAACAGACTGATGCACCTCCTATTTGCCAAAAGGACAAGCGATCAGATTTACAGCTGAAAACTCATCCGCTCGATCAGGACAGTTTACAAATGTCATCCTGCAGCAACAGACGCCGAAAACTTCAGGGCGAGAAGAGACACTGATTTCATCCTCTGCTATAAGCCTATCAAGATGTCAGCAAAAAAAAACTGATTTGACAGGGGTCCTACCGTGGCTGACAGGTCCTGAAAGGTTGAGAATGCAGCTCAGGGGTCGCAGCGAATTATGGCGTCTGATCCTATCATCTCTTGTCGGTCTAGGCGCTCCTGGACCCATCCAGTGTTTGAGAAAACGAAAAGAAAAGGCGAAAGACGATCGGAAATTGCCGATGATACACTTGATGCGATCAACGAGAGGCTTTCTGCGGAGAGCAAGTATTCAGACGGGTCCTGCAGTATTATATTGCTTATTTTTTTTGAATTATTGTGATTTTCTGAAAGCTTCGCATAACCGACGCAGACTCGTAAAGGTCATGATACAGGTGGAACATCATAATGACTATCATAGGTCGTGCCGCCGCTCTTCTCACTCCCGTGTCACTGAGGTGGCTCAGACTTGTGGGCGCATTGTCCTTGTCCTTGGCCGTTTTCGGGAAGGTTCTAGTCGCCAGGTCCGTCGTACAAATAGGACTAGGCCAGTGTTTACCGTACGATGCTTAGGAGACCAGAACGACTCGAGACTCCACGACACAAGACTAAAGCGCGACAGTAACATGAATGTAGAATGTCAGCATAGAGGTGCCTGATTTCGAGATTTCGCTCAGTCTTACCGTAGTTCATATGTCGACTCAATCCAGCCCAGCACAATGCACAGGGGAGAAGGCCACCAGCACATCCAGAGGCTAGCGCACATTTCGATTCATTCCATCCACCGTTATCCCACGTTACCACCACCGCCCCAAGGATAGAATAATCACCTCAGCGTCCCCATGAAGTCCGAATCCGAGTCGCACATTGCTGGGAGCCAGGAATCTCGCGCAACGCAGGGGAGGGCGACGAGATTCAGAGACAATTGGCGTGGGGAGAGCGAGGAAAATAATGTGCGACATAACAAAAACTGTTCGGGGAGTTGCGGGAGGGAGAACATACAGCAGTATGAAGGGGAAGACACACAAGGCATAGCGCATGACACTAGTCATCCGCACGCGAGCGGATACTATTGCGAGGAAGTGCATCGCTGCAGGAAGGTCACTCACCCACCTACCCTCGACGCCAGCCCTAAGTTCCGAAAGTACCCAGAGTCGTCAGATCCCCGCGCAACCAGAGGTGGGAGCAGATCCCTGACCGCGCATGGTCTCGGTGGCGTCCGTGAGACCAGACAGTGCACCACCATCGCCAACGTCGAGTCAAAGAGGGACGACTTCTGGGCTCTGCAGTGGGTGAGATGTGTCCCAATCCTCGCCAGGTCCGACCGGAACGGTTGTGGACTCGGGGACTCAATGTGGGATGTCCAAATGCTCTGCGAGACCGCAAACGCCAATGTACCCGGTTGTGGAACATGACCATCGCCCGAAGAAAGAAGAAGCCAGGATATACAAGCCCCGAGACTGATGCCGTAAGGGAGGAAAGGGCCGATGTAGTGCGGAGAAAACCACCTGCGCCTGCGGCACCATGATCGGGCAGATCTCCGTCTCCACGTGAAACCGCAGCGTCCGCATCGGCAAGCCATCCTACGGTTGCAGATGACACATCCCCAAGCACTCACGGACATATTGTTCCCGCCTGCTGGGGATCCCCTTCACAGCGAGAGACGAGGAACACACTATTCATCCTACCGATTCATCCGAAATGCGAGCTGGAAACAAGGCTAAAGAGGCCATTGCCGGGCTGAGCTTTGCCGCTAGAAACGTAGAAAGGCAGGCTTTCGATGAGCGAATGGTCGAGCGTTGGTAAGAGCGATGGGTGAGAATTATCTGGATTCCGGCGGTGGGGTGTGGGAATGTGAGCAAGAGGGACTTTGATAAGACCATGTATTCTTTGGAACGCGTATATGGAATGGCACCTTGCACAGGATCATACAGTAGCACTGGTGACCGAAAGGCAAAGACGGTTGATATTTAAGAGTGGCAGTGCGATGAACCCGGAGCTTTCCGAACGCACGTGAACAAGATACTTTGAATCAATTGGTTTAGCGGGGCGAGATCCTCCGAATTGCGCCAAACGTTCCGATTCAGCTAGGGAAGTTTAATCGTTTCAAGCAGCGCTATCCAGCTCCGGTCGGATAAATTTCTCTGTATCTCTCTTCGGGCAGACCTGGTTGGCCCAAGGACCGAAGCAAAATAGGGGGAAAGCCGGCCATCAAAGTCGATCCCGAACGAGTCCACCTTGAAATTGCCTAGTGACCAGTGACAGACGACCGGATTCCCTCGCTTCAATCACCCAGGGACCAGAGACTGCCGGAGGGATCATTAACTATCATCAAGGGTGCAAGGCGGTGTACATGCTGGGCCCGAAGAATAAAAATTATCACGCTTGAGCTTGGACGAGCAAAAGAAAAACAGGTCACGACACCTATTGTGAAGATATCGGAGGCGGTCATAGGTTCTCGGATGTCGGAATTACTGTCCGATAGCGAGACTCGTTTCTAAGAGACAAAGATTATGTCGTGCTGCGCGCGGATACAGGCAGACTGACAGTAGTGATCTCAGGATACCCCTGCTATTCATGGGCAAGTTCTCACAATTCTCATTGGCCGGAATATCTCGCAGTAAGTATATGTGTATGATGCTGTCATTGACGTGACGGGAGGCTATCGCCACGTGTCTCCTTCACTTGTAAAAGTGAGTTACCCGATCGGACATGGACGCTGGACCCCGACTGGGCAGATACTGTACTTACCTCGACGCTCTGGAAATAAAGGAAAGTGTGCGAAGTTCGGTCCGCTTTTCAAATGAACCGATGCCGCCGGTGCGATTCCCGTTGATCCTGTTCCTCGTGCTACTGGCGGGGGAGAATGTTGGCAGAACAGTTTTAGCACGCTCTCAGTCGTGTAGAGCAGTCATCGATAAAGAATGGCAACAGTTGCGAAAATGCTCAAGCAGCTTTATGGGATGTCGTAGTGCTTGCGTCTTGTAGAAAATGGAGTCCTTTGAAACTGAAACCATCTGCACTTAGCGTCATAACATTCCAGATGTTATAGAGCCGATTCATTGAAGAGTACCGGAATTTCTCTTGAGGCTCCAGCATGATAGCACCCGCTCGCTTGTTGCAGTCGATTTCGCCCCCGGAGCCTACCCGTCGAACTACAAATCGAGTACTTCATCTTGGCATTCATTTGAATTGAGCGATTAGCCTAGTTTGTCTCTAAAGGCAAGTGTTAACCCGCGAAGCGTCTCCACGAGTGATCATCAGGACGTGAAGCCAGTCCCAGGAGGACCTGGAGCCCACGCACCCAACACATGTGAGCACCTCACGGCGTGCGAGAAGGCAGAGAGAAGGCGGTTCAACGGGAAAACGGAGAATACCAAGCCTCAGCACCAGGGTTGGCGAGGCTCAGACTCCAGCTTCTGCAAACTTCAGATGTCTACCATTGGACATCGGATCGCACCCATGGCTCCCGATGGCGGAGAGAGGGGGAAGACGGGATCACGTGCATGGGATGGACCCGCATCTGCGTCATTTGTGCAGTGTCATTTGCCCTGTCCATCTGCTTCCCCTGTACTCTTTCAGCCAGGCTTTTTGATGAGGGTTCTATCGTATAAAAGAGCATCGGGGGTGAGATAGGAAGTAGAGTCTCATCCTTCGCTGCAGCCTCTTCTCACCCACTTCTCTCTCTAACAACCAACAATGTCGACTACGAATGTTACGATCCGCCCTGGTGTCGTGAGCACCCTCGCCACCCCGGAGGGCACCAAGAAGCTGCAGGAGCTGCTCATTCGCGATGGCAAGGAGCACCACTGCTTCTTCAACGACCGCGGTTTCCACAACCATCTTCCTCATCAGTGCGTCTGGGCTCGACTAATCTCGAACGCATCCAGTGGCTGATCTTATTCTCCAGCCTAATCGCCGCGTGCGATATGGGAGCCTCGCCGAAGCTTTTGGAGGAGATCTACGAGCTGGAGGCGAGGGACCAGCGCCCTGTTGGTGAGCCCGGGCCTCCTTTGGACGATGTCCGATGGCCTTCTCGGCTCGGCGATCGGAGGTGCGCGCTTGCTGTCTCGGGTATCCTGGGGCTAACAATTCCGCAGCGCTTATGCTACGTACCTCGTGTTCTTCAAGGAGAAGATCGCGAAATACGGTGTCACCAAGACTCTGGAGGACTACTTGATGTCGTCGGAGGCCAACTTCAACGGCGCGTCGATGTTCGGACGTCTCTTCGGTGGTGCGCTCCACCCTCTCATCCACATCGGAGTGAGTTATGCCCCGGCTGGAAAGTACCGCATCTGATTCATCCGTGCATTACAGTTTGGAGTGGAACTTGGTCTCGATTCTTTGGTTGCTCAAGGTACGTGCCGTGGAACATCGCAAGCACGATCGGGTACGTGGGTCTGACAACGGGCAGGTCTCGCCATGTGTGCTGGAACGGAGGGCAACTTCTCTTCCGCCGTCGCCGATCACTGGTCGACTGCCATGCCCCGGGTCCCGGAAGTCCCCACCAAAGGCGTCACGCTCTTCACCATCCTCCGCCAGGTGTACGAGTCACCGGACCTGCTGCCCACTCTCCCGTATGTTCCAAACGACGCTATCGGGACCGGGTTCTACAAGATCAGTGACTCCCCGAGACACACCCATGCTCTGCGCAATTTGTACTCCAAGTGGTCGATCGACACGACCCTGGAGGGCGCCGCCTTTGACGCGGAGATCAAGAAACGCGTGGAGGAGTCGTACTGGCAGGCAATGCTGCTCACCGCCGGCGTTGGACGCACCGGCCACGGGCCCCGGCTCGACTTCTTCCTCATGCACACTGTGACGAGCGCGATTGTCCTGCCGCGCTTCCTCGACGCGCTGCCGCAGAAGCTGCACAAGGTCCAGCTGCTGCAGGGCTTTGCGCGCGCTTCCGCCGTGTGGGCCATCGCTCGTGGACGCCCCCATATCAACCCCTCGCTGCTCATGTCGTACCCCAATCTCCCGGCCCCGGCGAGTCTCAAGACCAGCACCGCCGCGGACCCATGGGCCCCGATCATTACCACTGCCCTGGACCACTACGACTCACACGTCGTTAAGACGATCCGTGGATTGTATTTCGGACACATCCATTACGGCAATGTCCCCGCGGGCCAGGTGTTCGGTACGTACGACGAGAATGGCAAAGAAACGCACCCGGGTCTCGCCAAGCTTGATGGGACGTCTTGGATCCGCGCCGCGGGTATCACATGCACAGCCCTCGGCTGGATGGCGTTCGGCGAGGAGTCCGGGAAGTGGGATCGCAGTGGTCTTGGCTGGGATGCTGCCTGGGAGTAAAGTGCAGGCCGTAACTCAGCACGTAGGCTTGATGAAATAACGCTTGTACACGCCTGATGAAATTTCCATTGTTATGATCTACGAACTAGCTGTCTGAGCATTGGGTATCAATACGAGCGGGATGTGTTCGAAGCTGAAGCGCCACAATCAGCTTATGTCGCGCGAGTGCAACGCGCGGGATTGACACTAGCTATCGCTCCGGGTCATTTGATTGTACCGGGTGATGTACTGCTTCTTCCAGGTCGGCTTTCTCGACACCCCGTTCGGATCATGCACAACGAGCCGGGACGATTGGTATGTTGCCTATTATTATAATCTGTTCTGCACGTAAATTTCAATGGTGGGCGGGTCCCTGGCCCATCGCACCACCCGAAAGTGAGCCTAGGGAAGCATATCCATTGGTCGAGCGAGTAATGTCGACGGGAACGTCGTTCGAAAGCATATTAGGGGCCAGGCTAGTGTGCTGACACTTAGGAAGGCAGGCAGGATAGAGGAGAGGCGCAGGAGGTATTCCCAATCTTCACGTTGGCTTGAGGGCCGCGAACTCGACCGCGAGGCGAATGTCTTCATTCTTCGAAACACAGCGGGGGACCAATACGGGTAGACACCATTCCGGTGATCTCCGGGATGACAATGATTTGGTGACAGACCCATCGGTCATATCTAATCACCGAGGTCCGAAGCGGCATAGCCCGGCACCGCCTTGTCCCCGAAACACTCTTGTCAGGCCCAAGGCAAACGTTCCTTGACCGTCGCTCTCTCTCTCTCGTCAGCCTCCTCTCTCTCTTCCATCGGTACAAGATGATGTGGAACTTCAGCCATGCTGCGCGCACTCCTAGTATCCCGATGCCGATGCCTTCACCAGGATCTGAGTAAGTTTTTTCTCACAACAAAGTTAGCGAAACTACGCGACTGATGCGCCAAATGTGGGGTAGATTGAGTGTACCGTGAGCAGACCCAGTTTTAACCTGTCTTGTTGGCTGAATCGCGTGCAGACACCACCCACAGCACCACCGATCTTCCAGTGCGGGCGCGCCGACGGGCTGGCCGGGCAATGTGTCTGGTGGATCGAGAGCGACTAGTCCGCGGCCGATGGCGATGCCGGCGCCTGCCTCATTCATGTGCGTCCAGTCTCTGACCCCAATTACATCCTCCGTAGCTGATCGACGCGACACAGAAACTCTCCGCCAGTGTGAGCAACAGTCATCCCGCTACGCGTCCATGCGCATCTCACATTCTACCCAGAGAGTACGCGTACGAGCCCAGCCCGCGCGCCTTGCTTACCGTCCCGGTGCACGAGCACTACCACCACCGAAGCTCCCATCGGCGTCATTCGCATTCACACTCACATTCTCGCTCGCACTCGCACTCGCATAGCCCGAAGCGGCATAGTCACCATAGCCAGAGTCATAGCCGTCCGCATACGCCAGCACCTCCGCCCTCCCAGATCATCATTGCCGCACCACTGCCGCAACACCAAGTCCTTCGCAAGCCACACAAGCAGCAGCAGCAGCAGCAGCCGGTCTACCATGTCGTGTCGAAACCACATACTCACGCGCCCGTGCCCGTGCCCTCCGTCCCGCTCATGCCGCCCATCCACCCGAACTTCATGTACTCGCGGTGCACCGGCCGACGCAAAGCCCTGTGTGTGAGTCATCCCGATCCGGGATCCGCTCGTCATGTGCTGAAAACACTAGATCGGAGTCAACTACTTTGGGAAGCCGCACGAGCTGCGGGGGTGCATCAACGATGCGAAGAACGTGTTCCATTTCCTCGTCCGTGCGTCTCGGCGCCTTGCTCTGATCAGCTGCTACATGTGTTTTTTGTCTCACGTGGTTTAGGACATGCGTCGTATCGCCCCGAGGACATCGTGGTGCTCACTGACGATGCGCGCCACCATCGCTCGCTGCCGACGCGCAGGAACATGATCGATGCGATGCATTGGCTCATCAAGGACGCGAAACCACACGATGCCCTGTTCTTTCACTGTGTGTTCCGTGCTCCGAATCTTCCAGTGCTGTCTGAAGTCTCCCCGTCAGATTCTGGACACGGCGGCCAGACAAAGGATCTAGATGGAGATGAGGTGGATGGATATGACGAAGGTCAGTCGGTGGTGGGATCCCCACCCTTGCTTCTAACGGAAGGTTTGCAGTCATCTTTCCCATGGACTTCCAGCAGGCAGGACAGATTGTAGACGACGTGCTTCCTCTCCCTCTGTTTCCTTTCCTTACCTTGCTGAATACATGCAGGAAATGCACGATATCATGGTCAGAGGATTGCCTGCCGGGTGTCGACTAACGGTACGTGCTGGAGATCCATTCTTGGCTGATCACTCAATCACATGAGCAGGCTGTATTTGACGTTGGTCCGGTTTCCTAGTTCATCGATTGACTATAATTACTCATTACAGTCATGTCACTCGGGAACTGTTCTCGGTGAGTTTGTTCTCCAGTCACAGCACAGCACTCACGCGACGTCCAGATCTACCATATATCGTAACCGTTTCTTCACTCCTAGTGAAAACACACTGCTGAATCGGCTCTTTTCTAGTACGACTCTCACGGTCGACTGAAGGGTAATCACGTGAGCCAACGTGCACTTGCTCGTAAAGCGGCGCCGGCGGATGTGATCTCGTTCTCGGGATGCGAGGACGGACAGACGAGTGCCGACACGTTCATGAACGGTCAGGCCGTCGGAGCTGCTAGTCATGTATGCGCTCCCCGTTTCGCTCATGATTTCGCTGCTTATACACTGTCTCATGCAAGGCCTTCATTGAGGCTGTGCGGTCGAATCCACAACAAAGCTACCAGCAGCTGTTGCAGAATGTTCGGTACGTCATTTTTAACTATGACTCTGTGGTACTTGACGGCTGAGCTTGCTTTCAGCGTGCTATTGAAGCCGAACTTTACTCAGAAACCCCAATTGGGCAGTTCACATCCGATTGTGCGTTGATTGTCGTGAATTTGCCCCACGAATGCTGAGAGAATGTTTTTAGGACACATCGCTGAAATTTATCATGTAGTATATGTTTGCTATCTGCTTTCGATTGTCTTCATGTCCTATCGTAGTACACTACTCTGCTATAATTGTAATCGCTCGCTGCTCATCAATTCATCACGGCGGTTTCAAGATGTTCCTCGCTCGGTTCCGTGGAGGATTGGCATTCTCATGATTGTATTGGATTACTTAGAGCCTCAGGTCTACCTAATATAGGGTAGTCTCGACTGATTTTCTCTGCTTTACCATATTATCCAACGCGAAAGTGGTGGATGTATCCGTTACGAATTTTCCGTCCGTACATCATTAGTCTTGTGTAATATCGAGAGCGCTATATATACAGAAACTCATGTCATATCAAGAGCCACCAACGTTGGCCGGTGAGGTAGTAGATATAAATTTGTTGAATAATTATAGGGGATAGGGCAGCTCAGCCTTACTCAGGCATCGTGTCTTTGGAACGCCCAGGGACAGATGCCCACAGATCTGTCAGTGATCTCATCCAGAGTCTGTGTAGGACTGGCACGGGTAATCGGACTCGGAACTAAAAATAGGATTGGCCCAGTCATGCTGCCTCAATTCTCAAGTCCCACTCCTAATTGTCTCGTATACATTCAACAACGGGGGCGGCTGTTCCATTTCTGGGAACTTGCGCATTGGGAGCGGAAGGTGCAGGTGCGGTGGGCAGCGAGGGTCTTGCGACTACGTGGGAGTGTGCCGAAGGAGGGGGTACATAGTTGTCCCTTGACTCTAGACCGGAGGGCTAGACCCGAGGTCTCTTCAACACGTTCTTGTCAAGTCAAACTTTCCTTGACCGTCTCTCTCTCTCTCTCTCATCGGTCTCCTCTCTTTTTCGATCGGTGCAAGATGATGTGGAATTTCAGCCATGCTGCGCGGACGCCTAGTATCCCGATGCTGATGCGCCAAATGTGGGGTAGATCGAGTGTACCGTGAGGAGACCCGATTTTCACCTGCCCTCGTGGCTGAATCGTGTGCAGACACCATCCACAGCACCACCGATCTTTCAGTACCGGGGCGCCGACGGGTTGGCCACGCAAGGTGTCTAGTGGGTCGAGAGCGACAAACACGCGGCCGATGGGGATGCCGGCGCCTGCATCATTCATGTTCGTTCAGTATTTTCCATATCTTGTCGCTTGTGACTCAATGACGCACCGTAGAAACTCTCCTCCTGCGTGAGTAACAGTTCACTGCGCGTTTATCCGCATCTCACATTTCACCCAGAGAATACAAGTACGAACCCAGTCCGCACACCTTGCTTTCCGTCCCGGTGTACGAGCATTGCCACAACCGAAGCTCCCAGCGGCAGCATTCACATTCGCATTTGCAATCGCACAGCCACCACAACCATAGCCGTCCGCATACGCCGGCACTTCGGCCAGCCCAGATCGTCATCTCCGCACCACCGCCGCAACATCAAGTTCTCCGTAAACTACACAAGCAGCAGCAGCCGGTCCACCTATTCGTTTCCAAATCGCATGCCCGCGCGCCCGCTGCGGTCCCTGTGCCTGTTCCCTCCGTCCCGCTCATGCCGCCCATCCACCCGAACTTCATGTATTCGCGATGTACTGGCCGACGTAAAGCCCTGTGTGTGAGTCATCCCGATCCGGGATCCGCTCGTCATGTGCTGAGAGCACTAGATCGGAATCAACTATTTTGGTAGCCCGCAAGAGCTGCGGGGGTGCATCAACGACGCCAAGAACGTGTTCCATTTCCTCGTCCGTGCGTAGCTGCGCCTTGCCCTGATCGGCTGCTGTCACCTGTGTGTTTGTTTATCTCACACGGCCCAGGACACGCGTCGTATCGCCCCGAGGACATCGTGGTGCTCACAGACGATGCGCGCGACAACTGCTCGCTGCCGACGCGCAGGAACATGATCGATGCAATGCATTGGCTCATCAAGGACGCGAAACCACACGATGCCCTGTTCTTCCATTGTGTGTTCAGTGCTCCGAGTCTTCGAGTGCTGTCTGAAGTCTCCCCGTCAGATTCTGGACACGGCGGCCAGACAAAGGATTTGGATGGAGATGAGGTGGATGGATATGACGAAGGTCAGTCTGTGGTAGTGCACCAAGTCATGCTCCCGACGAAAGTTTTCAGTCATCTCTCCGATGGACTTTCAGCAAGCAGGACAGATTGTAGACGACGTGCCCCTTCTTCCTCTATTTGTTTTCCAGCTCGTGCTTAGTATGTTCAGGAAATGCACGACATAATGGTCCGAGGATTGCCTGCCGGGTGTCGACTGACGGTACGTGCTGGATATCCGTGCCTCGCCGATGATTCAACTGCTTTCGTAGGCTGTCTTTGATGTTTGTTGTGCTTCCCAGCTCGTCGATTCACGCTAATTACTCATTGCAGTCATGTCACTCGGGAACCGTTCTCGGTGAGTTTTCGTCCACCCATGACACTGCGCCCTCAGAAATGACTCGATTCCCAGATCTGCCATACATCGTAATGATTTCTTGCCTTCCAGCAAAATCGCGCAGCTTAATCGTCTCCCACTTGCAGTATGACTCGCACGGGCAGCTTAGTCACGTGAGCCCATGCGCACTTTCCCGCAAAGCGGCGCCAGCGGATGTGATCTCGCTCTCGGGATGCGAGGACGGAAAGACAAGTGTCGAAACATTCATGAACGGCCAGGCCGTCGGAGCTGCTAGTCATGTATGCACTCTCCGTTTCGTTGATCACTCTTCTGCTGATGAACTGTCTCACCGCAGGCCTTCATTGAGGCTGTGCTGTCGAATCCACAACAAAGCTATCAGCAGCTGTTACAGAATGTTCGGTGCGTCGCTCTCATTTGTGGCTCTGTGGTACTTGACGGCTGAGCTTGCTTCCAGCGTGCTGTTGAAGCCCAACTTTACTCAGAAACCCCAATTAGGCAGTTCACATCCGATTGTACGTTAGTTATCGAGCATTTGCTCCATGAAGGCTCACAGGCTTTTGTAGGACACATCGCTGAGGTTTATCATGTAGTTTATACTTGTCGCTTGCTATTTGCTTTCGATTGTATGTCTCTTGTTCTGCTGTCGTACCCTACTTTGCTGTAATCTTAATCCTGTGCTTGCTCATCAACTCATTGTAAACATTTCGAGGTGCTCCTCGCCCGGTTTCGTAGTCGATTGTGATTCTCATTTGTATCAGATTACTCTGGCGACCCATGTCTGGCTAATATAGGACTGTCTCGACCAATTGACCCTGCATCTCTCCATATTCTTCGGTTCGAAAGTCCACGATGTTTCCGCTATGAATTGTCCATACATTATTTATCATGGGTAACCCCGAGAGCGCTATATATACAGAAGCTTATGCCATATCAAGTACAACCTGTGCTGTTGGCAAACAAACATGAGCAAATCAACGATCAAGCCACCCATTCAATGCACATACTATGCGGCCCGGTCCCATTCAGTCTGCGCCTGACCACATCTTCCATGATAGTCCACATGCGATCTTCTCTCTGAAAATGGGCCCCGCGGAGCCGAAATGGTTCTAGCAGAGAGAAGAAGACGATCCGCGGGTCCAGCCAGCCAAGGGTGCGCAGCGCATCGACGAGCAGGATACGCACCGAAGCTGGGGGCCCACCATCGGAGCGCCGGCCATGCCCGGTCCCACTGCTCCCACTGAGCCCCGCCCCACCATCCCGCAGCGCGAGAACCTGCAGCCCGGGACACTCAGCCAACACCCGGTGCACGGTCGTCGCCATCCGACCCCCCGTCGGGACGGCACTGCGCCTCTTGAACGTCAGGTCGAGCGAGACGTACTGCAGTGTCGACGGGAGGTCGCCCCAGCGCCAGCTCTGCCAGTCCTCCCAGACGTTCGTCGCGGTGAGATGCGTCAGGCGGGTGAACAACGCGCCGCGGGTGGGCCACGGATCAGCGGGGTGTGCGTGTATCGCGCCGTGCCAGACAGATATTCTGCGGGGTCGGATAGAGCGTCCCAGAGCTTGGGCCAGAGAGAACGGGCTGATGGGGCTGCCGGTTGGGGTGGGAAGGAACCATGTTGTGAGCGCGTCGATTCTGGAGCAGATAGCAACTATACGCGATGCATGGCTCGGGAGCATGTCGAATAGGATCGAGAGCGATTTCACATGCGCGGTGAAGAAACGCGGCGGCCGAAGCAAGGAGGACTCGATGGTGTGGATGAAGGCGAGTGTAGTGCGGGTGCTGGAGAGGGAAATGCTGGAAAATAATATCGGGTCTATCCTGCCGACTTGCTATCTGAATTCCAGAGTGAGATATGGAATGAGGGCGCCACATACCACCTTCTGGTCAGCCGAGAGATCCTAACCAGCGTAAGCGCAGACCTGAGGTCCTCGCTCGCCGCCAGCTCGAACACATTACGCAACAGTCGAAGGGGCAGTGGCCCAGTAGCCATGGAATACAGCAGCAGAGTGAGCCAATCCAGCTTTTCTTTTGTGCGAGCTCCGGAATCTGTCTCCCTTCCCGTGTCCGAAGACATAGGAAAAGATAATCCTGGAAATCTGAGCTGTATGTCCGCGGAGTTGGAGATACTCGGGCTAGATATCAAAATAGATACACACTTCACCTCGGTTGTGAAATTCTTTTTTGCCGAGACCGATAACCCGAAAGTTGTGAAGTTGTCTGCGCCTCAATGTGAAAAGATGAATGGCCGCACCCACTCTCTAGCTAACGAGAGTAAGGCCATTCGATAGTCTTCGAGTAGCGCCGAGCGTTACCGTCGGTGAGATTGTCGGTCTTCAACGCTCTAACCGTGTGTTGGCACAATCTGATCCGCGGAAACGTTTAATTATCTCAACTTCTTGTCTCCATATGTGGAAATTACTATTGAAGGTAAGTTGACGTCTCCGAAAGCCATGCGGTTCCGCGGTGCACAAAACGATCATTGAGGAGCCTGAATTTTCCACCCTCTCCGGCAGCCAGATCGTCCGAATTACGGGTATAAACTAAACCGCTTGGAGATGACAAATCACAAGCCTACGTTTTACGCAGCCGGAACAAAAATAGTTGTGTGTCCGGAAGCTGACTAGGACCGAAAGCCCCGTATGCCATCACCTCATGTTGATCCAAATCCAAGCTTAAGTGGCGTCATCTCTTCACTCGATTTATCCTTGGTCATGTTGGCTCGATATCTACTCGGATTTGTGGCGGAGAAGCTGATAGCTGCTTGCATGAGGCATGCTCAGCAGTGGACCTCTGACAACTATCTGGCACAAGACGCAAAGACCGCGGATCAAACAGTCTGCACCGCGGTCAAACAATAAGCACGACAGTATCACAGTCGTTTACAAACCTTTACCGGTGTCCTGGCTTTGCAAGCATGCCGACTTGATAGGGCCAGTTCGGCTCTGGGGCCCAGGGCATTGAGTCCCCCATCACGCGGGGAGATGCGGCCTTTGGTCTTCAGCGCTAGCCCAGTTCTCGTGATAGCCTCGGCCCGTGGGAGCGTCGTTAAGAAAATGCAGGCTTCGGTAGGTTGCGATTCCTTCCTCCGTGCCCGTGTGTGAATAAGGGTCAAAACAGGAGGTGGTCCGCAAGAATTTGTCTGATTGGTTCTTCCACTGGCCTCGTCAGTCAGCCCATACACCCAAAACATTCCAGAAACGATGTTTCACCCTCGGCTTTGGGTTACATAATGAACACAGATGCTCTCCCACGAAGATCGTTGTGGGAAAAGGGACACGAGGAGACCCTGCATTATAACACCCGTTTCAAAGCTCGTTTCTGCATTATGGTAGATTATATTCAAAATGCAGAGATGAGGCAGGGGCCATGATTCAATTCCATGCATGATACCCAATTTCACTCTGCCTTCGGTGCGCCAGGACAGATGTATCTGTCGCTGAAAGCGCAGCAGTCACGTTGGATTGATGCTCACAGCACAATAATGTTGGGTTAGGGTCAATTGACAGTCTTGACTCTTGAGCTACCTCGATCAGCACTCTAGACTACAGGTTCCACAGCCTACTTGGTACTGAGCGCTCTCGTTTCGGAAGCGTTCAGTCACACTTCAACCTCTGAACGCGGATACAACTGGGTCTCGTCGTCGTCGTAGCGGTCTGTCATCCAATTCGATGATAGTAGCAAGTAAGTGTGGGCGAGTTGCTGCTGGAAACCAGCTGGAGTCTTATCTCATCTCCATGGAAATTCGGTCGACTGACTGCCACTCACTCTCATGTAAGTAGCACACCCGTGCCGGTGCTCCCCGGCCCACCAAGTGCTCACACAGCTGTCAAAGCCGATAAGCAGCCAGTGCCCTTGAGCCGTTGGGCACCCATCGCGCTTGCCTTGAGCTGGACTCCACGTTTCATTATTCTCCGGGATCACGGCAAATCAGCAGATACCAGTCCCACCACAACTTCTCATCCCCACCACGACTTGACTGAAACGAGAGACCGGCTGGGAAAATTCGGGACGTTGCGGGACGATCTCGACATCTACTGGCGTGACGCTACGCCCGAGCGGCCAGGATACCAATTCAATGCTCCTGGTGTATCGCAGCTAAGCTGCTATCTGGAAACCGTCACACATGATCAAAGATGCATGTGGATCAGGGTTGATATCTTTCGCGGCGGATTCTGATATCGCCCTAAAGATTGACTTGAATGGAAGATTGTCGCTCTTGGGCAGTATTCTTCATGTCCAGCGACTCTGACGTCTCGCTAAACACTCTCAAACTCATGTCTACAGATTTCCCGGGTTGTCATCAGAGACGTCGTGCAGTACCAGTCACAGTCTATGACACCCTCCGTCGATCACGAAACTACGATTGTGTGGGTCCCGGGTAGAAACGTAATTGAATAATCGGACACCGCTTCAGAACTCTTCAGTGCCGCTCGCCGACGGTACATTTGGCCTGACTTGATTCATGTCCAAACTTATACGGCGTCTAATGTCGGCGCTCCTGATCTTCTAAAACGAATCTGCGAGCGTAGAAACCCGTAGGGTCCAACAGCGTGATGATGATATCTGGGTGTGGGTATCCGTCGAGCCCGCAGAACTTCTTAAGACGCTAGTTCAGTAACCATGAGATTCTCCAACCCATCGATTTCCAGCCTTGGGTCCTGCCTTCGTCTTTCCCCCTTGTCTCCCTCTTTTTTTCCTCTTCTTCGACACTCCTTACATTGTCTTAACTTTTTCTTGATGGCCACGCCTGGCAATCCTACCACCCGCGAAGCATACTATCACCCGTTGACGGGCATGGTGGCATCCGGGCTCCGGGAAGAACTTGACTGTGCAGACATTTGGGCGCATCCTCTGCTTTTCAATGTGCGTGTTCTGCGGCGCGGAATTTCGATGGGATCGAGCCTGGCTGACATGTCACATCCAGTCTGATCAGCCCACTTTCTTTTCGTTTCAGGAATCCTTCGACGATTTTACTCACGACCACCCTCGGCATGATCTCGCTATGCCGGGGGTTGATGATCGATACAATCACCTGTCGTTGGGGACGGCGGATGAGCTCTATCAGTCACGAGACGCACCCAGTCATTGCCCATCTTTTTCCAGCCTCCAATCAAGCCTTCATACGGGGCCTAGAATGATACAGTTGCCCGAGCTGTATACAACAAACGATGTACGTTGCACTCAGCACAGCAATCAGACATGTGAGCCAGCACCAACGCTTCTTGGCAGAATTTCCCCGAACTTATATCGTTCGACGAAGCAACGACACAGTCCCTCAGCCGACCCCGAAACGCCTCCTGGCCTGCGACCAGTCTGCTTTCGACATCAACATCCGCACACCTCTCTGGCCCACCCACGCCATTCACAGACAGTGTCAGCACATATTACGCCCCATCAAGACCGCAATGGGATACACTCGTCTCACACCCCGATCCCTCGCAGCTCTCGTTCACAGGGTATGACGATTATCTCGATTGGGTCTGGACTGCCGCAACACTGGCGCCGGAGGTCTGGCAGGAGCAGCACTTGGGCGGCGCAGCCGGGCCCGCCCGGAGCAGCCCGTTCCGAAGGAGACGGTCTGGGAAAAAACAGCCGGTTGCGTGCGTGTTCTGTCGGGAGCGCAAGATCGCGTGTGGGCGGCCCGCGGGGGCTGCCGACGGCGGCGGCACCGGCGCCGGGGATCAATCTTGCAAGTACGTCGTGCTCTATCCTGTTCTGCGGTCTACACCAGAGTGAGCTGACTCGTCCATAGTCAATGCGCGAAGCGGAAGTTGGCGTGTTTCTTCCCCGCCGCCGTGTCCCGAAGAGGATCACAGTCACGTGCCCCGTCTGCGATAGGCAGCAGAAGATCCTCGCTGGCGAGAGATGATTTACCTGCACCTTCAAATTGATTTGACGATAAAGACTAATCTGCGGACGCCGAATCTTTGGGCCTGCCAAAAGTATTACATATAGCGCCAGACGGACCTAAACCACGGACTAGTTTGTACAATCACACTGTATGCATCACTTATGATCACCCTACTCGTATCGGACTCAGCCTTTGAGACTAACATATGGGCTTGGACATGGACATTGGTGACCTGACACCCTAATCCACTGTAATCATTACTAGTGGAAACGCAAGATCTGCCTTTGTACTTTGGACGGAAATATCCCAAACTTCAAGAATTGTTCCTCGGTAGAAGCCGAGACCTGTCGATGATTCTGGCCACCAGGAACCCGACGTATCTGTGGTTGCCGATTCGGCGGGAAAAGACGAGAAGTGGTCCTAAATTGTTCACAAGTCTGAAAACAAGGAGCAATGAGGCGATTGAGAAATCGTCAATCTTCTCTCACGGCCTCTCCTAGCACAGCTGCCCTGCCTTCCACGCTTTGTGATAATTTGGCACTCAAGTTGTACATGATGAAAATGACGTATTCTGAGTAGCCGAGACTCATTGCTCAACAGCTCTTTACCCCTAGGTACAAAGTAATAATGCTCATGAGCTCGGAACATATTCGCATTGAGTACGTCGATGTTTGGATCCGTTGTCACGAAGTTCAATTTCGTGAATGATTGCGAGAAATTAATACTAGAATTGCTCCACATGTGGGAGTCGTTTCAAAGGGCTACATGTATTAGCCATGAGACAAGGGGGACCTGCTTGTACCCCTGGGCCACGTTGACAAACCCCCGGGACATGTTTCACCGTCATTTGTGGTGCAAAACCATCGCTACATGCGTACAACACCAAAGACGGACTCCATCTGGAATTTTGAAGTCCAAAAAACCACAAGGATGAGTTTTTGTTCCTGGCAGAGCATATCAGGCACTATGTAGTTTGCCGGGATCCAATATTAATTCCGCTCACATGATTCTGCATCCACAGGCATGTGAACGTGTTTGAGTATATATGCTTTACATCGGCATGGTAATTGACAGCAGGTGTTTCTTGGGATCTGCACTCGTTTCGATGATTTTCACCAACTTGATCACAGCTTCGCTTGAATGGATAGATCATCACGTGTCAATGAAAGATAATGACAGAGTGGGATCAAAAAATGTGAAACAAATCAGGCCATTGATGTATAACCAGTCTGCTCTCTCCCCCTCGTCCGCCCCCATGGCCGCAACTTCAATCAAACTTAGACCTCTCGGTTCGCTCTGCTTGGTCCATTTTTCCTGCATGCTGATATACAGGGCAGGCATTGTTGAGCGCTACCACGCGTTGCACCATTTCTACGGCTATGGTGCAAACGTCGCTGCATCCTGCCGCTATTTCCTCCGCCACGAAACATCCACACCACTCACGAAAGAAATGCTGTATCCCGCCCTGCGAAAACTGATCGAAACCCAGGCGGGGCTGGGTGTGCGCATGGTGGGTGACGAGTCCGGGAGCACAGATATCGAGAGCCTCAGGTTCGAGCGGCTGGACATCGTCGATCTAGATTCAGTGGTTGAATTCGGAGATGAGGAAACGGTGGAAAGCGCACTGCAAGGTCAGTTGTGCCGGGATTTCGAGACTCGGGACCCGGTCCCGCTATGGCGGGTGCAGGTCCTGCCGGGTGGTATGGTGGTATTTGCGGCACATCATGCCATGGCGGATGGGATGAGTTGCTTGGCGTTCCATCGTGCTCTAGTCGCCGCGCTCAACGACCCCAACTCCGCGGCCACTGCAGATCCCGTCGTCATTGTCTCCCGCACTCTGACGCTCCCCCCGTCGATTGACGACGTAACAGATCTCTCGCCAGGTCTGTCACGAATCCTGTATGAAATCGTTCAGGCCATCCTACCCGCATCGTGGACCGCCCGGGGTACAGCATACACCGGCAATCCCGTGCCGCCCGCTGCACTCCCCCGTGCAAAGCTCTCCACGCGACTACGCCTGCTCACCATCCCTCCTGCCGACGCCGCAAAATTAGCATCAGCAGCCCGCGCGCACGGCGCCACCGTGACTTCCGCGCTGCATATCCTCGGCTGCGCGGCCCTTTCCCGCGCTCTGCCCGGCGCGCAGAGCTACCCGAACATCTCGTCGAACATCTCACTGTCGGCGCGTACCGCGAGCGTCCCTCCGACGTCGGATGACTTGATACTCAACTATGCATCGGGGTACCACGTGCTCATCCCCACCTTGCCGAGCTTCGACTGGGCGCGCGCGAAGGTGCTCTCGGGCGAGCTTCGGGTGCAGCAGAAGGAGGGCGCGCGCGCACTGGGTCTGATCCGCCTTCTCGGTTCCAGGTTCGCCGATTTTGTGAAGAAGCAGGTCGGGAGCCGACGTTTGTACGCGCTGCAGACGTCCAACGTAGGCCGCTTTATTGTTCATGATGATGGGATGTGGGCGTTGCGGGACGCAGTGTTCGCGGCAAGCGACACGTATGTTGGGGCTGCTATGATGCTGCACGTCGTTGGAAGTCCAAGCGGCGAGTTAGCTGTTGTGTTTACGTGGGATGAAGGAAACGGGGATGGGGCTAGTTTGGACGAACATGTGATTGAGCGCTTCATTGATGCGTTTCAGCAAGGTATCATGGATTTATTCTGATTGTCATGGAAGAGTTGTGCAATATTTCACGGACAGTGACCTTAAGCAACTAGATCGATCTTCAGTCCTAGGTCGCCTAGCCTCGAACATGAGTCTAAGCAGCCTGAACCCAGCAGAAAAATGGCAAGGTACCGCACACGTGAAGAACACGTGCAGCTGAGATCTCATGTCCGGCTTCGTGATGAACATGACATCGGGCTTGAGCTGACTGTTACCATCAACCGCACACTCCCCTTGGAGTTTCGCTCGACTCGAGACTTTGACAGAGGGGTATCTGACGGAACATGTAAATATGTATTTCTGCATCCGTCTACATACCGATTTTAACAAAACGGCGAACCACGGAGTTGCAGTGTGAGCGGGATTCGGAGATTCCCAGAGTCCCTCGGTCAATTCCGGATGTCCCTTTCAAAACGTACAACATTCTAATTGCTGTTAAAATACTTACATAAAACCCCAAACCAGAAAACTGTTGTCCTTATAGTGTGCCGTTTTCAATATCTCCAACAACTCGGCCATCTACGATCTGCCGAAAGCCGAAAGGCTTCGAAGCCCCTGAGTGCTGTTCACTGGATTTAGCCGATCGAGTGACTCTCCTCGTATCCGAATCAAGGTTGATCTCTCAACGGGACAAGCTGGACCGTTTCCATCTCATCCCGCTTGACACGAGAGCCCGAGTCTCCGGTCTCCGGCAAACCGCTGTTCCCTTCGTGCACGTCCAGCAAGCGTTCCCGGATGAACGCCACGACGCCTGCCGACTCGGAGCCAGGCTGCCCGCCCTCCTCCAGCAGCTGCGGGAAATCTTCGTGCCAGCGCCGGATGAGCGTGCCTCGCTGAAATATATGCAGCGCGCCGAGGGCCGAGAGGTGTCGGCGCGCTGAGATTGATACCTGAGAACGACAGACGATAAAGGAGCACGGATGAGACGCACCTAGGAGGAAATACAAGACGCTGGCGCCGAAGAGCCACGCAAACACGCCGTCGATGGCAGTCCAGAAACCACCAAGGACGGACAGGCCCTCGGTGGGCGACGAGATCGCGTAATCTTTGACGTAGCTCGTTGGGAAGCTCACGCGTTGCACGATAGTCAGCAGCGACGTATTCGCAGGAAGACCCGCTGCGGGCAGGGGGATCTGCACGATGCCCTCCAAGTGCAGACTGTACACCACTTTCGGTCTCTGAACACCAGTTTTGAGTTCGCTGAATGACAGACGCGAGATGGTGTGCGTACCGGGAAAACCGCTACGAAGAAGGAAGTGCGCACGGGAGTCAAGTCTCGGCGGGTCCAGGAAACTGAGGCAACCAAGTTGACATTGGGCACGACTGTGATCGGATCACTGAACATCAGTAAATTGGCGACGTCTCCTGCTGCGCCTGGGAAAACGTTGGCGACGTCAGTCGAGACCGCCGTCGGCGGGAACTGTATAGTCAATTGCATGCTCAAGAGTTGGATCCACGATAGATTGTTGCCTGAGTCTCGATGCTCAGCTGCGAGTTCGGAGTATAAGATGAGTGAGGGGCGTACAATTTGCTACCATCCCCGGGACGCTGCTGGCATTGTATACCTCCTTGCTGCTGCAGACAGGCTTGGGTCCCGAAGCTCCGTCGCCTAATGCTGCGGCCTTGTACACATGGGTGATGTTAAGGAAGGTAGGCACCGCAAGGCTCCACGAACTCGAAAAGTCGCTGGAAATCTGAGACATAGATAAGGTCAGGAATCCGATGAAGAAGGCGACTGACCAGAGCAAACTGTGGTGTTACGTCGACGAACGCCAGTTTCCCGATACTCCATTGTCTTGCCGATTCGTACGAAACCACGGAATTATTGATAGGCAGCCAGACGATGTAGTAGACCGCCAGACAGGGAATGCCCAAAGTGATTGCTACGAGCACCAACGCCCGCAGTACGATGATCCCCCCGGACTCGCCCCTAAAAGCTCGAGTTCAATCAGCGGGCACACCAGACACACCTTCTTGCAAGCGCACCGGACGAGCGGCCGGGCAAGCGATCTGCCCAAAAGGATTCGCCACGGGGTGTAAGGCGGGTTGATCGGGGTGCACCTCCCCAGCAATGCGATTTTCATGGACCAGATCGAGCCCGGAGTCTGGCTCGCGGTCGCCAACTTGAAGCACAGAGAGACGCAGAGGAGGAGAAGGATGACGATCAAGAACGCGTAGGCCGCGCCCGTGGCCTCGTATTCAGCCAGGAAGAAGACGAACGCTGCGAATCTCTTCAACGTTCTAGCCACTGCCGATTACGCAAGGAACGCACCGCTGACTTCGAGAACCGTCAACAAAACGTCTAGCCACGCATACAACCGCAACCGCACACTGCGCAGGGTGAGCCGAGTCCATAGCCACTCCGTCAAACCGCCCACCACGACAGATGGTGCACAATTGCCAACGGGGCAGCGCCAATCGACAGTGCCAGCAGCAGCGCATACGCTGCGCCCCCACTCGACGCGAATTTAGGCGATGGAGGCAGGACAAATGGGAGACTCCGGACGACGAGTGCAAGGAGAAGCAGCCGATGGGTGTACACGCGTAGGACTGGACTCCACAGGAGATCTGAAACAGGCATGGTAGAGGGAAGAAGAGGCTGCACCGGGCAGGAGTCGCGGAATCTGGGCGGGTAAGACACTTATACTGGAGCGGAGCACTGATCTGGTTGCTCAGCGCGTCTCTACATACATGCAAACCATTGGGGCACTGTCACCAGCGGATGCAATGAGGCGCAAGAATAAACATCGATCACTGTCGCCTTCAGTTGATCATTTCGAGCACGTTGCTGGGACAGTGCAACAGATCGATCAGAGACTTCTGCCAACCGGGAATTGCAGAGGTTTCGCAGACCCACCTCATCGTCAGCCATGAGCGCATGATAAGAATGGGTGAAGCGAGCCCATCCGTCACACAATCACACCTCTGGGACAAGGTTACTTGTGACGTGACAAAGAAAATTGCGTTCGGAACGAAAAAGTGGATCTGGGAGACGAACAGCAGATTCCGAAAAAGAGGCTCTTCGGACAGAGGCGCCCGGCTGGCCAGACCTGTTTGGTGACATAAGTGTTTTCAAGGCCGACCGGCCTGTCCCTTCGGACATGGCCAGAGCTACGGTCATACACTTGACACGAGTGATAAACTATGAAAAAACGGACTTCCAGTCGAAACACCGCATATACTCTTGACTGTTTTTCTTTCTACTGGGCGAAACCGAGAATCGCAAGCACTCCTGATCGCCTGATGCCATCACTCTCATCAGCAGGACTCTGGACACGCTCTGGAGGCAGCCTGCTCGGTTGATCCCGACTACTTACCGTCATGCCACTGGCTCGGCTTCCCGAGGATGTCGAGCGCTACATCTTTGAGATTGGGGCATTCTCAAATCCACGCTCGATCTTCACGTATATGCTCGTTGCACGACGTGTCAAAATTTGGTGCTTGGTGCCTGAATTCTTCAATGGCTAGACATCGCTGAGATGATCAGAACAGGCTCGAGCCGCTACTCTACCGGACCCTCGTTACCGGCTCGGAGGCGATTCCCGCCATACCCGCTGTCCCACTCCAACGCATCCTGGATCTCCCGGACGCTCCTAGACTTACGGCGCATACGCACAACCTGCTCTGCCACACACTGACTCAGGAGCAAATCCTCAAGATCATCGCCTTGTGCCCCAATGTCAGAAACTTGTTCGTCACGCCGTATGCCTGGCACATGGATGAGGAGTCCTGGATGGATCTCGCCGTGGGAGTCGCGTCTCTTAGACGCCTCCGGCGGCTGCACTTCTCTCTCCACTGCATGTTCGTAAAAGACTTTGATGGAGGAGAAGCTAGTGCTTCTCACGATTGGCAGTGCGCCCTGATCCATACACCGTTGTTCTCCACGCTCAAGCAGCTCACGCATCTCGAGATCTTCTCCGGCCTTGGTGAGGCGTCGGACGATGGCGCGCCTCATCCGAGGTGGAAACTACTCGCCGAGCTCCCGCTTCTGACGCATCTAGCCTTGAACTGGCTGGAGCCCGAGCTCTGGCGCGCCCTGCTCCGTGCGCCGATGCATCTCCAAGTCCTGGCCATCCTCACGTCGTTCGATCCATCGTTCCGGCCCACCGCCATCGCGGATGGGGTCCCAGATGATGATCCTCGTTTTGTTGTTATCAACCAGGACCGCTTTGCCGAAGATTGGCAGAAGGGTGCAGTTGCGGGCGAGGATTACTGGAATGCGGCGGAGAGATTTATCGAGAAAAAGAAAAACGGATTGATTGAGCAGGATGCGTGAGTCTGTTTTACATCCAAGGCTACAGAAAGTTCCTTGATAACTCTTAGGTTTTACATCGAGTTGGTTGACAACTCCATGAATGAAAATTGAGTAAAGATTCCGAAACCAGTGTGAGGAAGCGACCGGGGTCAACGAAGATGAACATATTTTTCAGTCCAACGAAAGGGCAGAGAAAAGCCCTGGACATTGACTGGGCTATTTCGCAGAGCTTGGTATGCGGCTCGGAATGTGTCTTGTCTGATGATGAAGGATACTGGCATAACAAAAGTTCCGCGTGAGTTCGTAAAAAAGCTCCTCCACAGAGGATGTGTCAACGATTTTTATCGCCAGGATTCGAAAGTCAACACAGCTGCCATGTCAGTATTACAGCCTATTTCCCTGGAAAAATTTCCATACATGGACTGCCTTCCTCGTGCCATCATTTGCAAAGAATCATTTCCGGCGGACCCGGTAATGCTACTTAACTCGCAGGCAAAACCCTGGCCTGAATTAACCATCCCATCTCATTCGTATCATCCCTTATCAGTCCAATGCTTTCTTCGCCGATGACTAATGTGAGTTTCAAGGACTGAAAGTTCGGCGTTCTAAGGATTTGGCGAGTCCTCCATCGAAGACGAGTGAATTTTCTCCGTTGGATTTCGGAGTTGCTGGTACACTGACAAAAATTGATCATATGGGTTGTTGCTCATTCTATCGCGCATCTGGGACTACAGGGGGCGAAGCCTTCAATCTGTCACGTGCCGTCATGGCCCAATGTCACATTCATCTTCTCCTGTGACTGTCAAATCTGCTGACCGGCCCGCTTCTTTTTCGCTGCTATCTTGCTGCTATCCGTTGGCTATTCGCCTACTATACCCTGCGCAATCAGCGAACGACGTGACCTTCGTGAACACTACAAGTAAGGGCATGTCGCGTGGGTGTACGCCGGAACGAGGGAATCACGCTGCACTATGAGCATCTGCGACCCATGTAGGTACGGTCTGTTCTGCTTTGGTTGGCCCGGGCTGACGCGGCGGCCCCTCAGAATCATCGAAGGCGTATGTTTGTCCCAACTCGGACTTGCACACAAGGATCTGACCCTTCTGAGACCTGCGACGGAGCTTTGCCTGCATGTACCCAGTGCCAGATACGCTCTGTCCCGTGCACTTACCAATACGAGCGACCGTGCAGCCCTGAGGACGACTTCTTTGGGCCTTGGGGGCTGGATGAGACTACCGCGGCTGTACTGTTGGGCGGAGGTGGGTGTCGCCGGCGTTCGGAAGCCGTGGGCGCTAATTTCAAAGCTCAGGCAGTCGTTCAAGCTCGCCGGAGTCGATACGTAGCGGCCGATACTACGATAGACTGACTACGGCCTCGCCGTACGATCGGATGGCGAGTGTCTCGCCGTTTGAGACGCGCTCGGTGCATTCCCCCTACGACCGCTTGTCTGGACCGTCACCATTCGAGCGATTGTCGAGCGGATCGCCATTCGATAGATTGACTACGCCCTCTCCATTCGACCGCATCATGTCGCCGACCACTTCTCCGTGAGTTTTGCGAGAATGCAAAGCCTGACGACCTCGTCTTAATGTCACTTGTAGCCACGACCCCAACTCCTTCCTTAGCCGCTTCTCCCACTCTCCGCTCTTCTTTCTCGACATCTTGTGGTTCCGACAGTCGTTTCCAGGCGCTGTCGACTCGGATCTCCGCACTGCCGTGTACATGTGGACAAGCTTCCCAATGGCTGATACCACTCTGTCCCAAACCGTGGAGACGCTGGCGAAAGCTGTTCCCGCCAGTGACGACTCGAGCACAATTCTTCAGACGGTGCAGGGGCAGATCATCGTGTCGTACTACTGCCTGGACACCGGCTGGCGCGAGCAGGGGATGAATCTCTGTGGAGCAGCGCTCTCGCTTGGTTCCTGGGCGGGGATCTCTGCGTCAGACACGAACTCTTCATCGACGTCTCTGGAGCGAAACAAGGCGTTTTGGGCGCTGTTTCTGCTTCATAATCTATGGGTCGCTTCGTTTGGCGTGAGTTCGAGTCTTCCGTACGATCCGCGGGACGTGAGTGTGCCTTGGCCGTGCAGCGGGAGGCTTGCGAGCGGATCCCAGTTCCCTATTGCCGAGTTTCTCGATGCAAAGTCCGATGTCTCGACAGATTCCGCAACGCTCTTTCTGCAGGCGTCGATTCTTTTGCAGCAAGTTGTGACGTTTTGCATGGAACGCCAAGGCAAGGCCATACTCGAGCTGATGATGGCTGAGCTCATTTCAGAGACAGGCGACAAGTCGGATGCTGATCGGTTTGCGAAGCTTCAAACACGGCTGAGGTCCTTCGTTGGGCATCTGCCTCCGCTAGTCTCGACAGAACCAATCGCGGATGAAAAGTATCAAGTCGCACTGATCACGCGGTGTCTGCTCAATGCCTCGGTTCTCCGATTGCACGCATTCGGGCACAGCGGCTCTGGAACCGCCCCAGCCGTGGACTCTGCGGCTCGTGCGGCATCGAATCGGTTCGTGTCGGACATCCGGCATGCTCAGAAGCGGCGATTCGAGTGGGTGGATCCTGTGCTTGGAGTGAGCCTGCCTCTGTCTGTCGCATCTTCCCACTGACCGGTGTCAGCCATTACTGTCCACTGCATGCTTCTTCAATTCTTCGAATGCATCGAGGGTTCCCGAAGCGGTGTCGAATATCCGGACGCTTGCCTCGGCCATGTCCATCTGTGCTGGGCATTCTACACTGATTCGTGCGTGCTGTTTTACTTTCCAGGCGATCAGATCCCTCATGGCAAGCAGAGCAGTGCTGGGATGCGACGATCAGCTCATTGCACGCTCAGGGATTGTCCAGTGCCTTGTTCTGATGCCCAGGACTGCTGCCTGACACCCCGACATCAACGTGTTTGCTTTCCATTCACACCAGTCTGCGACGCGCCTGGAGGGGAAACCAGGGACCAACTGCGTACTAGATTGTAGTAGCTCTTCAATTGATCTATGGTCTTCGTACTATTGGTCCACCTCCATGGATTGTTGGATATTACTGTGTGCATGTGCAGCCAATTTTGCTGGACTAGATACAGATAATGAATGGCTGAGTGGCTTGGTCGACTAGGCAGAGAGGATCAGTTCAGGACACTTCCGCAACAATGAGCAAACGCACTCTTCACACCGGAAGCCAGAGCGGCTCGTTCCAACACTCTCCTGCTCCTCGCAGATGCATTGAAATGCCCACACCATGGACACTTGTACTCTGCAAACCAGCATCGGTCATTTCTTACCGCACGGCCCAAAAGTGAGGAAACGCACGCGCATCCGCCCAGATCGCCTCGGGCACCAATCCGTTGTGCGCAAAACACCTCTCGCAGATTAGCGCGAAGCGTTGCTTCGCGTCATTCTGTTGCTGTAGCTCCGAGTCCGGGCCAAGCAACAGGTCCACGAGCGAGTCGAGCCACCCGCGTTGGCTAGGATCAGGGGTGGCGGGCGGTGAGTCGATTGGTGCGAGAGAAGGATGTCCCGGGAAACGACTGGATACTGGTGGGGCTTCGAGACGCGGATGGGGTGCGGCTAGGGGGCGTATGTCTGCTCGAGGCTGTGAGTAACATTTATGTCGGGAATCGTACCGTCATCGGGGATCAGGAAGCAGCCAAACGCTATTTAGAGCAGATAGACACCCCAAATTTGAACTGATCATGCGGGGATCGTCGGACCCAGCGAGGCCGAAGATATGACGCTCGACATCCCCCGGAAGCGCAGGAAGCGGAGATAGTCGGAACAGTTTGGGAAAGCCGGAGAGCACGGCGCCGATAGGATATGTCAACTCTCAGTAGATCCAAAGCCGAGCGTAGTTGAGAGATCAGGGATATGATGCTACGGCGGTCCGGTACGGGCCAAATACGTCGCTCATTTTACATAACTGTTTCTCACTATTCACGGACAACCCTGGCGAGCCCCGACACCATTTTTAGATGTTACGGCAAGTTCAGAAGGGCTCTGACTTTGCATTATGAGTCGCATGGACTAGAATGGCAGCCTCTGCCGACAAAACATGGCGCTAGGGGGTATGGCGTGACTTGAGGACGACCACCCTGATAGCTCTTATAACGGAAAGACGTCCTTTTTCTGCTTCGTGTACCCCCCACGAGGTCGGCCGATCGGGTAGCGGAGGCGAACCGCCAAGGTCGTGATAAAAAAGTGGGATCATATCAGATAACCGGAGTGATCCGGGCGTCGTTTTCCGCATGGGTGCGACCCTGACCTCGATCCTCCCGAGGCTGCGAATTGGTTCCTTATTTATTTGTATGCCACGCAGGCAATAGTCATCAAGAAGAACAGAGCTGTTACAAAACAGCAGGAAGGCATTGTGACCGCAGTAAAAGGCAGACTGATCCAAATTGAGAGCACTTGGTCATAAACGGTGATCGGAGGATTTCACGCGCGCTCCTTTGTGCATCATGATCGTGTGCTTCCAGAACGATTCACCGGAGCGAGCGCACACGTAAGGGCGCTCGGGGCCAGTAGAAGCAGCTTGCGGGCGTAGCCAAGAGCACGCGTCATTGACTCATGTTTGTTGGGCAGCCCCTGCACCTCAACTGGGGGCATGGCTTGCCTCAGTAAAGCCCCTCGCGTGGTCCAGACGCGGCCCAGAACCCTCCGGAACAAGCTTCTACCGGGACCAAGAGATTTTGGGGCGAGGGTTATCAGATAAATCTATGACGTGATCATCTAATCAGATTACCCTAAATCCGGTCCAATGCGAGCTCGCCAAGACGACAGCGAAGAAAAAAACGCGAATATAAGCGGTTCGGGCGAGGGAGATAGAGGCCACTCCTCTTCCCCCAGTTCTTGCTGAAGAGACATGTCGACCTCTCTTCTCTCCGCCGCCGCATCTGCCACCAGGACTCTCGCCGCATCTGCATCCGCCTCCCACTCTGCGGCGCCAGCGAAGAAGGCCAACCCTGACGGTGTCTTATGGAAAGCACGAAACAAGGAGTACCCAAATCAGATCTGGTACTTCTGCGCCGCATGCATCGCTCTCCTCACACTCGTGAACTTGACATCGATTCTTGTGCGCCGGTTCCGCCGCTCGTCGCCGTTTGTTGCGCGTGCAAGGGGACCCGTTACGTTGACCCGGATACCCGCGGCTGCGACACATCTCTTCCGCTGGCTGGCATTCTACTCGACAGTTTCGTTCGGCGGCTACACGTTGGACCTGGCGGAGCTGTTCATGGCCTGCGGGTATATCGCTGTGATCTACGCTTGGGGGTTCGTCAATTGTGAGTTGTCTGTCTTCGATCGTGCTCACCAGTGCTGATGGGACACAGCGACTAGTCTGAAGGGCCAGGTTCTGCTCGTCAATTACTGGAGCAACCGGACCGGTGATATCGCCGCGACTCAGTTCCCGCTGATGATTGCCCTCGGGATGAGGAACAACATAATCGGATGTGGGTGCTCGGCGTTTTCGTTTGCTTGCTGTTCGCTGACCCCCCATTTTAGACCTCACTGGCATCTCGCTGGATAAGGTACCAACCGCCTCGTTTCGCTTTTCAGATCCAGCTGACGTCTTCTTAAGATGAATCTTCTGCATCGTGTGGTCGCACGGGCCCTTTGTGTGATGATCTGGATCCACGGAGCCGGACGAGTGAGTTAATTGGCCCCTCTGCTAGATCATCTTTAACGCAATTTTCCAGGTTTACATCGCGTAGGCAGACTTCCTTTTCTCTCAACGAGTCTGACATCAAGCATAGCATCGGCAATGGAGAGAACGCCCAAAACGTTCAGGAGGGATGGTTCCGATGGGGCATCGCTGCTGCGGTTCCCTTCACGCTTCTTTGCGTCTTTTCTGTGCGGACAGTCCGGAAGCGAAGCTACGAGGCCTTCCTCATTGCTCATTTCTTCGTGGCCATGTGAGCATTAGGCATTTGGCATCGGGACGAGAGCTCACCAAAGACAGCGTCCTTCTCGTCGGAGCTTACTACCACGCGAAGGCGAAAAAGTAAGAGTGCCGTCGGTGATCCGTTCCACAAGCTCACGCGTCTCCACAGTAAGGCAGTCGAGATATGGCCTTCGTTCGTCATCTGGGGTTTCGACCGAACCCTTCGGTTCATCCGGACGTTCGTTGCCAACAGCGGATACATTCACTTCCTCGGCAAATCCGACGCACGGGCGAATGCACTCGAGGCGGACGTGCACGTCGTCTCGCCCAAGCTGCTGCGGGTCTCAGTGCTGCTCCCCAATCGGGTCCACTGGAGCCCTGGCCAGATTGCGTATCTCTCTGTCCCCAGCGTCAGCCGCACGCCATGGGAGGCGCACCCATTCTCGATTGCCAGCCTCGACACCAGCGCCAGCGCATCCTCCACGAACTCGTCTCGCGATGAGAAGCAGGGCGAGCTCAGCGCGTCCTCGTCCTCGTCGTCAATAGTGGTCCCGTCGCCCGGGTACACGAAGGAAGCGGTGTTCTTCATCCGTGTGCACCGCGGATTCACGAATCGGTTGTTGGATGCGGCCGCGGCTGCCAAGGGCCCTGCACGCTTCAATGCCTTCGTCGACGGGCCGTACTGCACACCGCCCACGGCGCTCGGTTACTCGTCCGTGCTGCTCATTGCGGGTGGATCTGGTGTGTCGTTCACGCTGCCTTTGCTGCTCGATCTCGCACGGTATGTCTCGATCCCCCTCTCGAGCGTCCAGCTGCTGACAGAGTATCCAGCGCTGCCCGACTGAACGCGAATCCATGCTGCGGCCGAGTCGTCTTCGTCTGGTCGGTGCGCGAGTCTGACCAAATCGACGCCGTAGCACCTCTACTCTCCGCTGCGCTCGCGGACCTCGATACCAAGACGCTCGGTCTCGAAATCCGCATCCACGTCACACGCAACATGGAAGACACTGACGGCACCGAGGACGTGGCGGCGGGCGACGACGACGAGAAGGACGTCCCCGCCAGCCCCACCAGCTCCGTCACGGCCGCGAGGCGCCTGCGGCGGTTCGAGTGTGTGACTGTGAGCCAGGGGCGGCCGGACATTGACGAGCTGCTGCGCACGGAGGTCGCTGCGGCGTCGGGTGCCATGGCCGTGAACGGTGCGTGTCTCCCGTCGATGCTGACCGTGCATACACTGACGCGGGCACAGTCTGCGGGACTAGGGGATTGGCCAAGCATGTACGACGGGCACTCAAAAAGGGGACCAGCGCTGCGGACGTGTTGCGGGGTGGGCCGTCGGTGCATCTTCACGTCGAGTCTTTCGGCGGCGCCTGAATGCCTGAAAAAAACTGTTGCAAGATTCACGATAAAGATTGTGATGACATAGACGACAGATAACGAGAGACGCGGGTGTGTGTAGGATAGCCCTGTGTAGACTAGACGTGTGTATTAACTGAAGGAGCTGGAACGTCATCAGAGATCAAGCGAGAAAAGACGTGGCTGTGACAAAATTATTCTGACGGGTACTGATCCGGGACCCGTGTCACCGGCACGCTCTTGCTTGAACCGTTAGACCCAAGAGCACAGTCCACATACTTGGGGTTGGACGATATCAAACTATCGACTCGCTCCATTTTCCCCGAAAAGGAGATCAGTCAGAGAGTTGGAAAACCTAGGCGTACCGAAACTTATGTTTCCCATCGGGCGCATCTCGGATTTTCGCGGCGAATCAAATCGACAAAGGCCGGGAGATTGAAATCTCTTGATTATCTCTGTCAGGGCAGATCCCCATCCAGTTTTCTCGAAGCGTCTTTAAACTTGTCGATCTCCAAACTTGGCAGAGTCTAGATTGTTCGTGAACTTTCTTCATCTTTGTTTCTGTTCGATCGGTGCCATGCAATATTCACGATGTGCGACCAAAAAACTATTGTAGTGAACAATTTTACCACAGGAACAAATCCGAGAGTGAGACAAGCAGAAACGCCCGGGAATCATACAGCGAAACTCAGACGGCATGTGCAGTTCTGGAAAGGTCTGAACTAGCAATACTGTAGACTGGTCAGAAGAACTGAATCAAATCTTTGCCCAGTCCATAATCCAACTCGATCTCCCCAAAGCTCTGATTGTTCGTAGCAGTGATGAACTTCTGCCCCGCGCCTGTGCCTCAGTAGTACTCGCAAGTGCCCCGATTACGTTCTGTGCGTCCTTGACGATGACCTCCCTCGGTGGGCGACTGACGCGGTTGATCCCGACTTTCGCGCCGACGATCGCAGCTCTCGGGAACAGCGCGATGCGCTGCGCTAGATTCTGCACGTAAGTGTGCAACGCTTGGCTCGTAGGGAAGGCCTTATTGATCCACCCGATCTGCGCGGCGGTGTCCGCGTCGATGTCGGCGGAGGAGAGCACGTACTCAAAGGCGCGGCCGCGGCCGATCGTCTGCGCGAGGTACAGTCCACCGCCGGCACCAGGCATCAATCCGAATGATGTTTCGAGTTGGGAAAGGAGCACTGAGGGCGAAGAGACTGCGAAGCGCATGTCGCAGGACATGATGAATTCGTTGCCGATACCCCGAGTGCGCTGGATACGGGAAGTGAGATAAGTGAATGATGAGCAAGGAGAGCGAGAAACAAGCGCACCCCTTCGACCATCGCAATCGTAGCCTGCGGAAGCTGGGTGACATTCCAGAGAAGTGCCACTGGGAAGGTCATGTCTTGCAGCCCGGGATCGTTGAAAGGAAGAACAGATTCTGAAAGAGATCTCAATCAGCTCGGGGCCCTTCCCGTTCCAAACACCTCACTTACGGTACCCGGGAAGGAAGTAGTTGATATCGATATGGGCGATGAAAAACTCCTTGTTCGCACTGGAAAACACGACCGCTCTGACATCCGTGTCAGGGCTTTGCAGCTCCTCGATGAGATTGGCTAGGTCGGCCTGAACGTGCATGTCGAAGATGTTGATAGGGGAGAAAGTGTTATTGATGACGACGTTCATGACTCCCGCTGAAGTGGACGTCTGGAGGGTTCCGAAAGCCGGATAGCGGGCGGCGAGACTGTATATCACCAACGAGAGGAAAGATAGCAGAGAGATCAACATGGTTCAGATGTGGAGCTTGACTGGAGGAACCTGAGCGCGCCTAGAACCGCTTATATACTAGGGCCCGCATGACTCCTCCCAATCCAACAGATTGCTCATCCACCCAGACCGCACCGAATATGTCATCCCGAACTCTTCCAAGGATACATTCTGGGCCGTCCCCCCAACGTGTGGCGGCGGGGATTGTCCTTTTGTGGACTGCCGAGGTCTTCACCGATGCTGCTCGGTCAATGACAGGCAGCTGCCCGGGAGATGACTGTTTCTGGCAGACCCGAGCAGAGATATCGTGGGTTGTTTCACCTTGAACACGCACTCTCCGAGCACAGCAGGAATTGAACCGTGGGCACCGAGTGATTTGATGGACCGACCCAGTTGATCCATTAATCGCCAAGAACAGCCAGAGGATGAATCACGTGCAATCCCGTCCACTGACAAGCTTGCACGTGCAGTCACCAGGTCCTCTAGTCGCCGAGCACGTGTCGACTCTGCGCCAATCCTATCAGACCTCCTGATCTTTCTCCGTTCTCGACATGTCGCGGGACCTATGTCGCGCGGGTCACGCGACGTCATACTCCGCAATTATTCCGAGCGAGCGGGGTAAAACGCTCGCGTGGAGCGCAGGGCCCGGCGAGGACCATGCGCCAATCATCTCTCCCCTTACTCCTGGTCTCCTTCGCTCTCGCTGCCGCGTCGACTCCGACATCCGAGGTAGTGGACTCGGACTTGACGTTGCTTTTCCAAAACGACCTCGATTGTGCGTGGGACTTCTATTGCAGTGGTTGGAGGCGGGGTAACACCAAGCTTCAGGGCGGACCACGAGCGAACACGACAGCTTCATCCTCCTCTCGCCACGCACACACACTCAGGCTTCTACCGCATGCGCACAGCTCAACGAGAACCTGACGCCGACGAATGGGACCTTCTTCTCCTCAGACGTCCCAGCACTGTTGTCGTACACGGCCTACTCGCAAAAGAAATCGAAGACGCAGAAGTATTGGGTCGCCGGTTCAAGCGCATCCTGCACGACGATCAGCCCTGCGGGTCTGCAAACGACTCCCTGCTCCCAAAAGCTACCTGTCCTATGCAAGAACTCGGCGCCGAACCGGATCTCTGGGCAAACCGACTTGAGCAGCACTTGGCAAGTGAACGTTAAGGCCGGGGATTTGTCTGTGACAGGGTGCGTTCCTCACTGGCATCGGATGGTGGGAAACTCAGTTTATACCCCAGTACCCGCGACCACGTGTCCTTCCGCTTCCTGGGCATCCCATTCGCGAATCCGACTCAACGCTGGACGTATTCGTCCTTGTACACCGGTCCGTCGGAGATCACAGCCCTCGAGATGGGCTCTCCGTGCGCCCAAAACGGAGGGACTGGCGCTGAAGACTGTCTCTTCCTCAATGTATTCACGCCATTCATTCCGGCAAAGCCTAAACAATCCTCCACCGCTCTGAAGCCGGTCATGTTCTGGATACACGGCGGAGGCTTCACCAACGGAGAGGCGTCTAGCGCTGACAAAGATGGGGGAAGCTTGGCGAGCCGTGGAGATGTCGTCCTCGTGTCTGTGAACTACAGGTGCGTTGCTGCTGCATTCGCAATACGCTTTCATGTATCGAACGATCCCCATAAGACTTGGCGCTTTGGGATTCCTCGCGCTCGACGACGGAGTGACAAATGGCAACTACGGACTCGCAGACATGATCACCGCGCTGAAATGGGTGCAGAAGTACATCTCAGCTTTCGGCGGGGACCCCAACCGGATCACCATCTTTGGGCAAAGCGCCGGGGCGGGTGCAGTTCGTGCCCTGCTGGGATCTCCTCCAGCGTTCGGCTTATTCTCAGGGGCCATCGCGCAGAGCAACCTGGCGGGCGTTTCGTACGCCAAGACGTACTCGGATTACTACACGATTGAGCAGGAAGTGGCTGTGGCTGCATCTGCTTTCGTCTCCGAAATGGGATGTGCGAACGCAACGGCGAACGCGACTCTGACTTGTTTGCGGGCTGTCAGCTGGCAGACCCTGCAGAACGCTCCGGATGCCCCCAGGTTTGCGATTAATTTGCGACCTATTGCGGCTCCCTGATGAGGAACATGGATAGATATCTAGTTGTGGACGGGCATTATCTTGTCCGTGACAGACTTTCCGTCGATGGGAAGGGCCCGATCGCACCGAATGTGCATGTCATGTTTGGCTGGATGGCCGACGACGGCACTGACTTTGCGGGCGGATACCCTGCTCCAGGAGAGTCCCAGCTGTCGTCCGTCGAAGCTATCGGGTGAGGCTCCATTCTCCCCCGCCTGTTTTCATCCGCTAATGCGGGTTCTAGTCTGACGGCAAACACCAGCTCAGCCATTCTTGCCTCGGGGCAATTTCCGACATACACGTCCGGAAACGCGACACTCGACGTGCTGAACGTCACGAGCAGGATCGCCACAGACGGTGAATTTAGGTATTTCCTTATTCTCCTGCTGTCGAGGTCTCTTCACTCAACGCTCTCACCAGCTGTCTTGACCAAGCAACATTGCACTCAGCTGCACTGCACAAGGTGTTCAAGTCGGTCTGGGCATATCAGTTCGATAGAAGCTATATGGGCTACGAGCCTATTCCTGGTGTGTGCGATCCACCTGCCACGGCCGCGCACCCGTTCGGAGATCCCTCCCTTCCGTACTTCAAGTAAGTTCGCTCGCGTTTTCGGAATTGATGCAACCGAACACTCAAATCACCTCTTCATTAGATGCCATTCGGGAGACTTGTATCTCGTGTTCGGCAACATCGGACAATCGACCCCCGGGTTCCCCTTCCGCGACGCATTCGATCTGCCATTCGAGCAGCTCGCGCTGGACAGCTGGACGTCCTTTGCGCGGACGCACGACCCGAATCCGGACTCTGCGTTCCTCGACGCGAGGGCGTTTGCCGGGACGAAGAACGCTCTGGCCCAATGGGGCAGTTGGCTGCCCGTGCAGAGCGCAAAACCCGTCAGGATTTTGGATTGGCCGAGTCGGAGCAGTGGTTGGCTGGAACAGAAGCAGTGCGCAGTCTTGGGTTTTCCGTTGGATTATTATGAGTAGTTTGATATTGTGTTCCGCGTGCTTATCGCGCGGCTCTTCTCAAAAGCGCCTATCAATGAACGCGCGTGTCGATCCCATGCTTTCAGCTCGGCGCCCCGAACCCGTGCGGGAACTATCCTCCCGTAAGTACATTCGAATGTCAATTCTACTGACTTGTGCACGCTGTTGAAGTAAGCTTAACTTTAGGCAGAAACGGGGGAACGTACTTCACACTGCGCCCAAAGCAATCTCTTGAGCTCCAGACGAACTACAGCTCCTCGTACTGTCCGTCCTGCCTGCGAGGTAGCGCGTATCATGAGAGCATGTGACCGCGTGACCAAAGAAGGCGGAGCAGCTCGGATCAGTTGAGAAAAGGAACGAAGCCTCTTCTCATCTTCCAAGAACTTGGGTGGCCGCTCAACTTCTCGTGCACGCCGTTCTGCTCCACGTTCATGGGCCATTCTCTTGCCGCGGCCGATATGGGTCCCTGCTTGACTGGCGGCATCTCTTTCGGCACCGCGGATAATGATATGGGGGTTTGAAGGCGAAGTGTCGGCACCGGGATCATCCTTTTCTTCTCACCTTCCACTGACCGCTCGGCTTCTCGAGCACACCTCACGACTCCACCTCCCTGGGCCTAGCGTCATTGTCTCGCGTGTTGCCACCGATGCGAGACTCTTCTGAGCTGGCGCCATCTCTTTCGGCACCGCGGATATGACGCCCGTGGCAACGCTCGGGCGCAAAGCGTGGGGCCTGGCTGTCTGTCTCCGAGTTCTATCCCGCTGAATCATGGAAGAGGAACGAACCTCGCGACTCGACTCGCGTGCTGGTGCATATGGGCGGGGGGAGATTTCACATGCTCATGCGCTGGGCCGTGGCGTCTATCCAGTTCAACGCGAGCGACCGAGCATATGACGCGAAGAGCGCCATCGACAACCACACTCGTATAAAATCCAGAGGATCTCCAGGGTAGGAGTCCCAAGGTCCCATCTCGGTATCCTCCCAGCTTCTCGGACAAGCATCGCTCAAAATGGTCTTCGCCTCTGCCCTCGTCTCGCTCCTCCTCGCCGCCGCTGCTCTCGCAGCCCCGCGCAGCAACGTCGAAGGCCGCCAGGCCCGCCGCCGCATGTCCGGCCCGCGCCTCCCGACCGAGGGCCCCCACGCGAACTTGATCTCCAACGCGACCTCCCACGTCGCGTACAGCCAGAACTGGGCCGGCGCCAGCCTCGAGAGCCCCTCGGGCACGTACACGTCCGTCACCGGCACGTTCACCGTCCCGACGCCCCACTCTGCCGGCGGGTCGGGCAGCTCCGCGGCCTCGGCGTGGGTCGGCATCGACGGCGACACCTGCTCGAGCGGCATCATGCAGACTGGCATCGACTTCAACGTCGACAACGGCCGGGTCTCGTTCGATGGTGCGTTTGTTTGTCTGCATCCGATCCCGCATTGCCCGATCTGAGGCCATGAACAGCCTGGTACGAGTTCTACCCCGCGTTTGCGAGCGACTTCTCCGGGTTCTCCGTCAGCGCGGGCGACGTGATCACCCTCGTTGCGACCAAGACGTCATCGACCTCCGGCCATGTGTCGATCACGAACGAGTCCACCGGCCGCAGCGTGTCCAAGACGCTCTCGGGCAGCGGCAGACTGTGTGGGGAGAACGCGGAGTGGATCGTCGAGGACTTTGAGCAGGGAAACTCGCTCGTGCCGTTCGCTAACTTCGGCACTGTCACGTTCTCTAACGCCAGGGCGACGCTCGCGTCGGGTGGAACGGTCGGACCGAGCGGCGCGCAGCTGCTTGACATTGAGCAGAACAGCGTGCTTACGTCCGTCAGCGCGTCCGGCAGCTCTGTGACCGTTCGCTACGTTTGAGCGCGGAGAATCAATGAGGGGCACGTAGTCTTTACTTTCCTGTAAGGAGTCTACAGCGTCCTCGTCACAAGAGCCAATCAATCGGAATGTATTGTCGAGAAACAGTGACTTGGTGTTTCCGGTCTGAATGAGCAGTCAGTCATCCAAGCCTTGCCGCCTCCGAAGGGGGGAGTTGAGTCTGTGATCCTCTGAATTGCCTATCTCACTGCATTCCCAGGTGGGCTAGACCCCGTGGGGAAGATACCGGGAGAGTGATGTCCGAGGGTGGAGCGAGCTGAGTCTAGAAGGGTCCAGACGTCTAGTCCCCGGGGGGCTATGCCAGTAGCCCACGTGCAGGGTTGACCGCAGGAGAGCCGTGTCCTGATTGAGTAGACCCCGTGGCGGCCACATGTGTCTAGCGGCATCGCCTCTGATCGCTCACGTTTAGCCCACGAGAGCCTAGCAATGGCCAGCTCCCTCGATCCTTGCTAGCTAAACTCTAACACAACAATGTAGCCTTCAAATGATATTCCAAGCAGTTTTTTCTCTCATTTCCCGCAGTCTAAAAGTGCGGAAATGGGCAGGTATGAACGATCTGGAGGTGGAGGTGTCGACGCGGGAAAAGACGGGGGGGCTAGACATGTCCGAGTCTTGTCCGATCAGTGTCGACTGATGCAGGCCCCGTTCGGCCCACGCTAGACACCAATCGCCCCCGGAGGGGCTCCACCACTCGTCCCCCACTCGGGGGCTAGCGGGGGCTACTTGACTCGCCCCCAGCGGGGTCTATCCCGCCTGGGAATGCAGTGTCTGTTTCTCCTTCTCAAGGCAGCTCTGATCAGCAGTAACTTTCCTGCTTAAGCTCTGCCCGTGTCCCGTGGGGATGGCCGATAGTCAAGCATATGACATGCGCTAACTCGAGGAAGAGCTCAGATGAAAGGCTGCAGTTGCCAAAGTCACGAGGCGAACAAGATCTGGATCGGGCACACCAGTGATGGGACCTTCCCACGACACCGCCTCGTATAGCCACTGATGAGCACATGCTGATTCTGTATCAGATCATGTGCATATCTTGTGCAATGAGCCATTGACCACTGCACAACACAGTTCCTCCCAGCACAGCATCCACAAAAAGGCACCCCAAAGGAGGCTCTGGCATTCAGACTTGCTCATCCTTTGTCTCTGATTGACCCCACCTTCTCTTGCCACTGCAAATATTCCGTACAGCACTGCACTGTCAAAAGACCCTGTCTACCCTAGCAGTACATTATCAGTTGCAAATATGTACATGATTGTGTAGTTAGACTATTTGCCTTTCAAGCCATCAAATACGGTCTTGTAGTGCTCTGGTACATCTGTGCACAAGTGTTTTACAAGGTCTGCGCTCTCTGAAGGCTCGTATTTGATGGTCCATCATAGACCAATAGACCCTGTCATGTCAAACTTGTGTCGCTGGATTGGTGTACCCGATCCAGATCTTATTTGTCTCATGGCCAAAGTGACTCAATCCAAGCCATCTTTGCTAACACTAAGAAATAGGTGTCATAGTTCGACCACTTTTTCATCTTATCATCGACGATCTTATCTTATCTTGGCACGACTTATCTTATCACGGATCACGGCATCAGACAGTCCGGACTAGGGGTTCCAGGGATTATCTTCATCAATTCGAGGCTGCGCGACATATGCTCCGGAAGGTTCTACTACGACCCATGACCAGCGTTCCATGCGGTACATAGCCCTATGACTCATTAGTTGTAGATATGACTCAGACTGGATTTGGGTATAAATACTGTAGCTATTTGGTTGTATTCTCCAGTCTTCGAATTCACTTCTCTTTTCGACTTTGTTCTTGGGTTGATTGTCACATAATTCGAAGACTCCCCTCATACCCTCCTACCTCATACCTCTTACCCTGCATCCTGCACCGCTACGCCCGCTATATCCTCTTAACCCTTATCACCCCACTCACCCTTTTACCGAATCATCTAGTCGTCCTCCACTATCGCAGTGAAGGGTTCATATCAAGCAAACAGCACCAGGCCACGGGTAACGTTGAGCCCGACCCAAGCCTTACGGTAGCTACAAGGAGTGCTGCGGAGACCTTCGGGAAAACGCACCTCGGGATCATCGGGCACGTGAAGAGCTAGGCCCGGGATCTTTTTGCTAGCAAAAGAACCCTCCCTCGAGTGCTTGTACAGCACACGATTCCACCATTTTGTACCGATTCCCATCGTCGTCTGGGAGTCCATCCCCTCCCCCCATTGTACCATCGTCGCCCGATCTGGCGCATCAAAACCAACCCGGGCCCTCCAACCCCTACCTCGCCCTCCCACCACCTGAAGACGAGATCCCCGACCTCGACGAACTGCCCTCCGAACAACCACCCTCGCCCCCACCTCACACGCCTGCTCCTACCATGTCAGGGCATCACCACATCACCCTCGCCACCAACCCCTCCTACTTCGATGGCGACAAGTCCAAGTACCTGGGCTTTGTGGACGCGTGCACCACTTACATTGGTGCCTATCGATCGGAGTTCTCACTGGATGAAACAAAAATCCTCTTCGTTCTCTCCTACCTCCGTAATGAGACCGGCACAAGCTGCGCCGCCTCGAGATGGGCGATGAACTGGAAGCAGCACAACTTCGAGGGCTTCCAAGGACTAAAGACGGGAGTCACCACGGAAGAACTTCCTGGAGGAGCTTCAGAGGGCGTTCGGGGACTCCAATGCGGAACAAGTCGCCGCTGCTCGGCTTATGGCCCTGCGCCAAAACAAACGGTCCTTCGCAGACTACATCTCCGACTTTGAGATGTTGGCCGCGGATGCAGGCTACAATGTGGTCGACACCACCGACGACAAAGGCGAATACAAGAAGGGGGACCAGGATAATATCCTCATCGAGTTCCTGGAGCACGGACTCAGCAGCGAGATCGCCAGCCGTCTCTACAACACTGGTGTCCCTCTGCCCAAGGCCTATGGAGCGTTCAAAGCCTGGTGCATCAACATCGAAGCCAATGCTCTGCGTGACCAGCTGCGCAAAGCGTCGTATGGGCACCCCACACAACGACCACCTCCCCAGTTCCGTCCCCAAGCGGCACCAGTGGCGCCCACACCCGCTCCGGCCCGACCCGCTGCCAACAAACCGGTTCCAATGGAAATTGATTGTACCCACGCCCGCGGCCGCAATATCATCTGCTACAACTGTCAGCAGCCTGGGCACATTGCGCGGAACTGCCCGGAACCAAGGAAGAAGCGCACATTCTTCAATCGGGCCACGATGCTGGAAGAAATCGAGAACGGGGACAAGGACAACGAGTTCCTCAAGGAGATCGCCGAGAAGCTGCGCGAGAAGGGTTTTTGAAGCGCTCCACTCCTCTAGCCAAGGAGGTGGAGCGTCCGGACTATGGACGATTTTCTGTACTTGTTTCGATTAAAGACATGAACGATTCTACACATACATACACAATCTCGGACTCACTACGTACAAATATTCACGATTTTCTCATTGCCGATATGGAAAAAGAACGACAAAGAAAAATAGCTTTAAATAGAGAGTATTTACAGAGTAAAAAGGATCAGAAAGCTGCAGATAAATTAATTTTGGACTCCTACGTATTTATGGCTCGTGGAGAAGGAACCACGTCAACAAAGACCGAAAAGGGGAGCATTGCTCCGGAGGCTCGATCCTTGGAAAAGGAGGAAGCGCCCAAGGAATCTGCCAAAATCAAGGTTCCAGAAGCACCCAAACGCACCAGGGTGCCAGATGCCGTCCAGAAGAAATTGGCGGCCGAGAAACAGAAGGGCCCCCAGCCCAGCAGGTTGGCGCAGGAATTGCGCAGTTACCAGGCCAAAAGGAAGAGGCATTCGATGGACGTATACGTCCAGATCACGGGTCTGGACTCAGGAAAGACGCGCGGAGTCAAGGCGCTACTCGATAGTGGTTGCAGTACCTGCTGCATCGATACTGACTACGCCCGGGCAGAAAAGCTGGATGTCCAAGAGCTTCCGCAGCCCATCGTGGCTCATAACGCCGACAACACCGAGAACATCAGTGGTCGGATCACGCATTACGTCGACCTTAGGATGAGAATCGGTCCTCATGTGGAGACACGCACGTTCCTCCTGACATGTTTGGGAAAAGCTCGGATCTTCATCGGTCTTGATTGGCTGACGGAACACAATCCCGAGGTGGATTGGCAGGAGCAGACCATGAAATTTAGTCGATGCCCAGAGCAGTGTCACATGAGGGGTCACAAGGAACACCAAGCAATGATTGACATGGATGCAATCGACCTGGACACGAGCGCACCGGATCTGGAAGAGGGAGAATCAATCCTGTTGGTCGACTTCGGGAAAGAAGTGGATCTACGGCTGAAGGAAACACCGGCACAGAAATTCGCAGAAGAAGCGGAGAGGGAGAAGGAGAGAATGACCGAGGGAAAAATTCCGGATCAATACCGGGAATTCGTCAAAGTATTCGCCAAGGAATCGTTCGACTCACTACCGGACCGACGGACATGGGATCATGCAATCGAGCTCAAACCTGGTTCCAAGGCAGTGGATTGCAAGGTGTACCCATTATCACGAAACGAACAGGTCAAACTCGACGAGTTCTTACAAGAGAACCTGGCCAGCGGACGGATTAGGCCATCGAAATCACCCATGGCATCAGCATTCTTCTTTGTCAAGAAGAAAGATGGCTCCTTACGTCCCGTCCAAGATTACTGGAAGCTCAATGAAATGACGATCCGAAACCGATACCCGCTGCCGCTGATCTCCGAACTGGTCCATAATCTATGCGGTGCAAAGTTCTTCACCAAGCTCGACATCCGGTGGGGATACAACAACGTACGGATCAAAGAGGGTGACGAGTGGAAGGCCGCGTTCCGCACGAACCGTGGGCTGTACGAGCCCTTGGTCATGTTCTTCGGTCTCACCAACTCCCCGGCAACCTTTCAAAACATGATGAACGACATACTCCGAGAACTGATCAACGAGGGTCACGTGGTAGTTTATCTTGATGATATATTGATCTTCACAGACAACTTGGACGAACACCGACAGATCACGAAGCGAGTACTCGAATTGCTCCAAAAACACAAGTTGTACCTGAAACCCGAAAAGTGCGAGTTCAAACGCACGGAGATCGAATACTTGGGTGTAATTATAGGACACAATTCGATGCGGATGGACCCGGTCAAAATCAAGGGTGTGATGGAGTGGCCCGAACCAAGGAGCGTCAAACAGGTCCAAGCATTCCTAGGGTTCACCAACTTCTACCGACGCTTTGTCTGGGGATATGCGGAGGTTGCGAAGCCGTTGACACAGCTGACAGGGAAGGCAGGTTGGTCATGGGGTACAGACGAGCACGCGGCATTCGAAGGATTGAAGAAGAGAATCGCAGAGGATGTGGTCCTAGCACTGCCAAATGACACCGGCCAATATCGTCTGGAAGCCGATGCTTCGGAAGGGGCAACAGGCTCCGTTTTGAGCCAAAACCAAGACGGCATTTGGCGCCCAATCGCATTTATTTCGCATGCATTGACCGAAACCGAGCGAAATTATGAGATCTACGACAAGGAAATGCTCGCAATCATGCTATCATTGGACGAATGGAGGCAACTACTGATGGGAGCCACGGAAACATTTGAGATCTTCACCGATCATCAGAACCTCGAGTACTTCCGGAAGCCGCAGAAACTCAACCGACGGCAGGCACAATGGATCATGGAGTTGGCGGAGTTTGATTTCACCTTACGACACCGGCCTGGCGTGCTCAACCGCAAGGCGGATCTCTTGTCTCGACGAGCGGATCATGATCAGGGCAAGAACGACAACAAGGACATCACGTTGTTGAAGCCCGAGTTCTTCCGATCCCAAGAAGTCACATTCCAAGGGCAAGACCAGCAGCTAATTGATGAGATCAAGGCCATCCGATCAATGGATGGAAGCGTCAAGGCGGCCTTAGAGAAGTCACTCGCTGGATGGAAAAAGGAAGACGGACTCATCACGTACCATGGGAAGCTCTATGTACCGAGGGACGAGGAGCTGCGAGACAAGATTATCGGGCTACACCATGACACACCTTTAGTCGGACACGCTGGGATCAACCGAACGCAGGAGATGGTGGAAAGGAACTACTGGTGGCCAAGGATGGGAAACCAGATTCGGAAATACATCCAGACGTGCGAGGCGTGCCAACGGACAAAGACCAGGAGAGCAAGGACGGGGACTCTGCACCCGCATGCAGTTCCAAATGCACCATGGGAAATCATCTCAATGGATCAAATCGGACCCTTACCGGTCAGTAATGGGTATGACGCAATTCATGTGTGGTGTGACACCTTCACCAAAATGATCCATGTCGAACCAATTAGTACTGACATCAGCAGTGAAGGAGTTGCACGGTTAACCAGGGATCGAGTCTTCCGCTACCATGGGATCCCCCGCAAGATCATCACCGACAGGGACTCGCGTTACATCAAGGGCTTTATGAAGGAGACAAATCGGATGTTGGGCGTGGAAATGAATCCGGGTACCGCATATCACCCGATCACGGATGGACAGACAGAACGCATGAATCAGGAGATCGAACATTATCTCCGCATCTACGTCAACTACCATCAGACGGACTGGTCGGAGTGGCTGGGAATGGCGGAGTTCGCATACAATGACAAAATGAACACGTCCACCAAAGTATCGCCATTCTACGCGAATCACGGATATCACCCATGGAAGGGAGTGGAGCAGCGGATGGAATTGAGGAACAAGTTGGCGGAGGAGTTTGTAAAAAGAATCAAAGACATACAAGACGAAGCAAAAGCAGCATTGGAAAAAGCAAATGAAAAAATGAAAAAATACTATGATAAACAAAGAAAAGAAGTTCCGGAGTTGAAGGTTGGGATGAAGGTGTACATAGAAGGGGAGAACATCGAGACGGATAGACCATCAAAGAAGATGAGCGACAAGAGATTAGGGCCATACGAGATACTGGAGAAGGTTGGAGCGGCTGCATGGAAACTGGATTTGCCGGACACGGACCGAAGACACCCGGTGTTCAATGAGTCACTATTGACACCCTATCACGAACCACCCCCCCATCGCCGAGAGAAGAGACCTGTAGCCAAGATGATCGGAGGAGCAGAAGAGTGGGAAGTCGAAGAGATCGTGAAGGAGCAAAACGTTGGCCGAGGAAAACAGTACTTGGTCAAATGGAAGGGATGGCCGCATAGCGAGAATACCTGGGAGCCATCACGTCACCTTACCCACGCGAAGAAGGTCCTGAGAGATTGGCAGAGGAAACAATCAAACCCAGACACACGCATTCGCCTCTTGCCAATGCTCGAAGCTGGACATTGGGACTATTTGATTCATTGCTACAAACCCAAAGACGAGCGCCTTCCATATCCCCAACGACAACTCTTCGACCCTTACGAGAACGTCTTCCTACCCATTGGCCTAGTCGATGAGGACATCGACCCTAGAGAGGGGGTAATGTCATAGTTCGACCACTTTTTCATCTTATCATCGACGATCTTATCTTATCTTGGCACGACTTATCTTATCACGGATCACGGCATCAGACGGTCCGGACTAGGGGTTCCAGGGATTATCTTCATCGATTCGAGGCTGCGCGACATATGCTCCGGAAGGTTCTACTACGACCCATGACCAGCGTTCCATGCGGTACATAGCCCTATGACTCATTAGTTGTAGATATGACTCAGACTGGATTTGGGTATAAATAGTGTAGCTATTTGGTTGTATTCTCCAGTCTTCGAATTCACTTCTCTTTTCGACTTTGTTCTTGGGTTGATTGTCACAATAGGCTGTCAAAATAGAGCATGGCAAGGGCCAGAGGCTTGTTTGCATAAGTTTCTCTCTGCTATGGAGGCCCAGAACATGCCCAGAAGGCCCTGCTCAGAAGCGAGACAGTTGACATTGATACACAACTATGGCATACAGGACCCTGGAGTTATGACCATACATGAGTGATTGCTGACTGTTGCAATGGCAGATTGCATTCCAGGAATGAGAGTTGACTGTCATAATTTGATTGATGGTCAATGAATTTCAAGGTGAGGTCACACTAAAGCTACACAGAAGTATATGTAGAATGATGACATCAATCAACCAACCACCATGATCTATGAGACTCCAGGCAAGTGGCTTCAAGCCAAAGAAATGGCAATATTCTGAGCATTTGTGCTTATCAGGGAATGCTGTGAACAGCACACCAACGTTTCCACTGTTGAGCACTGGGGAGAGCATCTAGCAACTCACCTGTGTGAGTGAGAGCTTAGTGTAGGCACTATGTGGGAGCAGTCAAACGACTTATATCAGAGGGTAAAAGAGCCCTCC